TCATTGCGTTGCTTTGGCAACCAGCAACAACAACAGCAACAATAGGAACAACGATGCCCGACAACGAGCGTTAAAATGTGCAGCAAGCACGCGATTAAAGTCCACAAAAAATGTGAAGAGAGTGGTTGGATGGTTGGGTGGTTGGGTGGTTTGGGTGGTTTGGGTGCTTGGTGTTAGCAGAAATCATCGAAATGCCACAAAGCCAAACGCTTGACGCTCAACTCTCTGCCACAGTCAATTTGTGAGGCAGACATCATTTTGCGGGCCCCATCAGCAAGCAACATGTGCCAGTGCAGCTGCACCAGCGCCAAGTCTGGCCTGGGCTGGGGCTGGGACTGGTCCTGGGCCTGGGTGGCTTGGATGAAATGTACGGCACGCGATTTGCTCAACTGCTTGCTGCATGCAGTTGACTGATTTTTTGGCAGGCACTCAGCCAAAACAGCCTCTAAATGGAGCACAACATGCAAAGTGTGTGTCTCTGTGTGTGTCTCTCTCTGTGTGCGTGTGTGTGTGTGTGACTGCTGATGCCATTTGCTTCATTGTTTTTCGGGGTTAACTGCAATGCGCTGCGGGCGATGCACGGTACAGCCGCCTAAATTCTTGCCATGCAAATTGCCACTTACGTTCCACATGCCATCCACAAGAGCCTCACAACAAGTCAACAGCAAGAACAGGCAATGGTACACTTTGTCGTAGCACAGAAATTAAATGTACCAAAGCAGCTACAGTTACTGGTTGGCCATGGTACACTTAACGAAATAGATACAAATGCGAATGGTCCTCTTAACAAAATAGTGAATTGTACCTATTTTGTTTCGCTAACTTCCACATAATACAAAGTATTCTTAAATAGGTAAAGTTGCTACTAATGTATATGTACCAACATAGGTACTTTTATATACAAGCGTACACTGTGATGCTGTTAAGTGTACCAAAAGTTGTATATTTAATTATAAACTGCTAGTGGTTGGCAAAGGTACACCAAACTGATATACAATGTACCAAATACGATAGTTTACTTATGCAAGGGAATAGGAAAATTATCAAATTTGTACCTACAAATATACTGAGTAACAGAGTTAAATTGTACCCAAGTTGGTACTTTCTTATGACCATTAAAGCAATAGTAAAGTGTACCATAATTTGTAGCTTATATATGCAAAGGTACTTAAGTAGGTACATTATTAAACAATGGTACAGTATTAGTGAACAATATTAGTTAACAAACTAAGAAATATTTCGGAAATATTTAATCATTTTTGGTACTGTTTCGGAATACGCATAGCCCCAATTGGGAACGAAATGGAAATGATTTACTTAAATTGTATTTGTACCTCATTAAGGACGTTTTGGGAAAGCATGTCAAGGACATAAAAAAGAACAATTAAAAGACTAAACAAAGAAAAACAATTCAAATTCAATGAGAAGCAAACAATTTTTGGTTTGCAATTTGAAATTAAGTAAAATTAATGCAAGTGTAATTTATTTCATATATTGTTAGTCATAAATAAAAACAAACAGATCTTTTTCTAAGCTGGTTTATGAGCTTGACAGCTGCAAATAATGGTACAAAGCCGAAAAGTCGCTGGGAAGGATAACGGAGCGAGAATTGCCTGCGGGTTGCTGCCATTGATTTTCATAAGCAACGCTTAAATGCAAATTAAATGCCAATTAATTATGCGGGCACACACACTCGCACACACTCACACACACGCTGCCCAAGCATAGTCTAATATTCTCGACTGGCCTTTTGTTTGTTGTAGCTGCCGCTATATTTCGACCTTATAATGGCGTCATTACGCCCGCGCTGATAACGGTAAATAAAACACACAAGCCAAAAGCAAAAACAAAAAAAAACCTGACAAGTGCTGAAAAATTCATCAAAAAGACAAACCAAATATATCACACACACATACACTCACACATGCATTAGCCATTCACTGTTGGCATACATTCTTGCATGACTGTATGGGTGTATAAAAATATACTGATGTATGTATGTATGTATGTGCTGGCTATTCACGCACTTATCCTTCTTTACGCATGCATGTATGCATTGATGTGTGTGTGCGCGTGTGTGTCGTAATTGGCAGCCTGTGCTGCATCGATGACATCATGCAGCAGCAGAGACAGCGCCGCGCCAAGCACCTTCCAGAGTTGCCAAGTGTCCTGTTTATATGTGTAGTAGCTGTGTGTGTGTGTGCGGGCTTGGCTTACATTCCAATTGGCCCCGTTATAAAATGAGACTGACCAACGCATAGAGACTAACACACACATACATATATACATACAAGCGCTTGTATATATAAATATGTGTGTGTGTGTAAGTATGTATGTAGTGTGTAAATTTACATAAGCCTTTAGTGCTTGTGATGAGCGCGTGACGTCATCACTTAGTCACGCATATCACGACCCAAAAGAAATTTATATAGCGGTCAACTAATGCAGCTGCCTCAGTCGCCTGGGTTGATTATGTGCAATTAAATATAAATATAAATATCATGGGATCTTCTCTAGCTCATTGTGGGAAATTTGAAATTCCGATATAACAGTTTGTTATCGATATTGTGCGTAGGTTTCCAGCACTGGCATCGGCCAGAACTTTCACATGGAGTTGGGCGGGCGCCAGACGAAATCGAGTAAAGGCGAAATATGGAGCAAGAAAACAGAAACAATTTATATATATTTATATATATATATATATATATATATATCGTACGAAAAGTTCAAATAACAAAAAAAAATATATATATATAATACAACATATATATATTTCGTGAAGAATTGTTAAATTATGTTTTGTCGATCTGATATCCGTGAGTAGAAAGATGCGCGTGTTTGACTTGCTTTAAGATTTTCGATTATGAAACTATATATTTAGTTATTGTTGTTTACTATTTTAGTTTGTAGTACTTATTTTTTGTTAATTTAATAATTTATAGAAATTGTTGTTGCCTTGCTAAGATTATTAATTGCTAAACTTTGTATTGTATATGCGAATAGCTTGAACCTAAATACATATATATAAATAGTGCTATATATATAAATGTATATATATATATATATATATATATATATATATTTATATATATATATATATATATATATATATATATATATATATATATATAATATACATATATATATTTATATTCATTTTCATATTTATTAAGACATAATTTAACGGCTATTTTTGTTTGCTTTGTATAAATTCTTTTAAAGTTTTTTGTTTATTTTTATTATTAAGTTTTCAGTTGTTTTTTTTTTTGTTTTTTTTATAGTTTTTTCAATTTTCCATAGATTTTCGTACTGGGCGTCATTTAAAATGCATATATCAAAGTTCTTAATTACATACAAACTTCGGATAAGTATATTTTTATTGTTAATTTAAATAAATGTAAACTTTACGTTGCTTGCGTTCTGGAGGGGACTTTAAATGTTAATTAAATACAAATATTAATTTTTATTTTTAATTTCTTCTTCTGCTTCTTCTTTTGCTTATTTGCCCGCTGCTACTTGTTTTGTCTACGCTTTATAGTAGGTAAATCTTTGACTTTGTTTAATATTAGAGCTAAAATTATAAAAAGTTTACGTTACACACACATATATATATATATATATATGTATATATATATAGCTAGCGTGCTCAGTAGTTGCGTTGGCGAACTGCTTTTACTCAATATTTTCCATTAATTTTTCCCACATTTGTTTTTATGCTACATTTTTTTTGTGTTTCTTTTCGTTTTGCTTTCAAATACAAAATGAATAAAACTTAAATTTGAATTCAATTTAGATTTTGCAACAGAATATGTCGGCAACATTTTGCATAAGAATATTTGTTACGTTTCAAAAATTTTGCTATTTACTTCATTTAAAATATAATTTTAAAAACTCAATCAAAAACTATGTGAAAACATTTATTGATGTAGTTGATTTTTAAATGATTTCGACTTTATTTTTTTGGACATGTTTTAAAAAATATACAAAAAAAACAAGTTTTAAGGGAAAACATTTGAGAGTATAATTTGAAAATTGTCGAGTCAAAAAAAAAGATATATACATATATAATTCTTCATATATATATATATATATATATATATATATATATATATATATATATATATATATATATATGTATACATATATATAATATTAATTGATATCTTTCGCTTAATATATATGCTTGCCCTGCGTTATTAAATTATCTACACGGAAAAAAAATGTATTGTTTATCAAAGCCGCCGCCGTCGCCGCCGCCTCCGCCGCTGCCGTGTCCCTCCCCTCTGTCCATGTCCATGTTTTTGCATTTTCTTTTCTTTTTGCCAATTGAAGCCGACAACAATATTACGAAAATTGATCAACAAAATGTTTAATTTTTAAAAATTATAGACAAAATATTACAAACAAGAGAGAGATAGAAAAAAGAACAGAACTGTGGTCATATATTGAATTCGCGACTTACGACTTTTGCTTGGATTACATAGTTATATATATATATATATATATATATATATATATATTATAATATAATGTGGGTGTATGTGTGAAGTTGTGTTTTATATATATATATATATATATATATATAAATTTGTTGTTTCGTTTGCTGTTATGGATTTTGTTTTTGTAATACGTACGTAGTTGGTGTTTTATATTTCACTGCGGTCCGTTTTTCTTTTCTTCATTTTTTTTATATTTTTTGTTAAATATTTTTCGTTTTTTTAGTATTTTCTTGTATTTTTGCTATATAAACTGTATAAATTGCCTTGCCTGCTTGCTAACGCTGAACGCTTGTCAAAATTTAGTTTGTTTTGTTTTGTTTTTTGTCGTTTTTCATTTTTTTCTTAGTTTTTGCTGTTTTTTGTTTTCTTTTGTTTTTTGCTTAATTGGTAGAACGTTTTTTATATTTTGTTTTGTTGGTTTACATATGCATTACTTAACTAACAAATAGCAGCGCGCATATCTGAGCTATACTGTACATCGTATAGCTATATGCACGGCTCTAACTTTACCGCTGCTTACAGACTAACATTTAAAGACTTTCCATTGCAGTTGTTGTTGTTGTTGTTGTGGTTTCTGTTGCTGTTGTTCCAACGAACACTCATGAAGTTAGAAAGTTATTTTGTCGTATTGTTTGCTTTGCTGTGATTCCATTTGTTTGTTTCCTTTTTCTTGGTTGTTTTGTTGTTTGTTAAGTTGCTTTGTTGTTTTGGCTGACAGGGGAGGGCGCCAGCCAAGTATGTTGTTTATGTGTATTGTTTGCATAGTACATAGCTTTTTATATAATATATATATATAGCATAGTATATATAGCATAGTTATTAATTATATTTTGTATTGTTTTTGCTTTTGCTTCCATCTCCTCTTCCGCTTCTCTTCATATATATGCACGCCGCTCTCTCACACCAATGATATATGCCTCTATCATTTCCATTAACTTGTCTCTTATTTTCTTTTGCTTTATGTTTTTTGCTTTTTACTTTGTTTAAATATCATTTAGGCATATTTAAAGATTTCAGAGCCGCCTAGTTATCGCCATTGTGATTGACATTCTGTTGCAGCTCCTTCAGTTTCTCCTCCCGCGGCTTGGCATTGCCAAAAATGGATGCCGATTGTTTGGTTTCGGCCACCGCATTGATAGGCGCCGCAATAGTTCGCGGCTTTAGCTGCAGGCGTGGCCGCTCCGTATCATCTGCAATGTGAAATTCAGTATCAGCAATCTTGGAATTTGGTCCAGGCATAATTGAATTGTTACCGATGGCGCCCATTGCAACGCCGCTGGGACGTTCCTGCTGCTGGTTGGGATTGTAGTGGGTGCGCTCACGATCACGATGCCGGCTGAAATTGTTGTATCGATCGCCATCGCGCGACTGATTTCCATAACTGCCCTCGCGCTGCCCACGATCCCGATCCTGATTGCGATCGAATCTCTCGTCATTGTTAAAGTTACCATAACGGCCGCGATTAGCCGGGCGATCTGCAAATAACATTAACATATTAAATACACCATAGCAATATATATATATCTGCATATATACTATTTGTTATCTATTATTATTATTATTATAATTATATGCTGGCATCAATTAATTATTGTGATACGGGCCGTCTATATAGCCTAGTATTACACTACGAATTGAGCCATGGTACGAATCAAGCAGCATGCGAGCTGAGTTTATTTAATTACTACTAATTTGAAGCGTGCTACAATTTGCATACAAAATCATTTTCAAATCATAATAAGGAGAGTCCGACTACGCAATAAATAAATAAATATACTAGATGCAAGAAATTTTCAAATAAGGTTTACATACAGAACAAAAAGAAGCAAACGCAAGGGTAAAAGGTAAAAAGGTAAAGACGCTCCGGCATACAGCCAAGTTTAGGGCAATGGAAGACGGACAACGCCCAAAAAATAAAGCGAAATAAAAAGAAGCAAAGTATACGAAAGCAAATGAATATTAAAAAAATTAAACAATAAACTAATGTCTGTAATATTTCGGTTTTCGCTTTGGCTGACAACCAACAATTCCAGCATAATTTTTAAGAAAACTATAAATCGGAAAAGCCAGAAAAACAAAAAGGGTTTTTACTAAGGCTAGGCAAACAAAATGTGTGCATGGGATAGTCGAAGAGATAGATAAGAGGTGGGAATATGCAGATGTTGAATACCGCATCAAATGTCACGCTTAGCATGTGGTTTGTATCTGGGTTTGTTTTGTTTTGTTTGTTTGTTTTAAACTGTTTGTTTTGTTGTCCATGCGAATTCGAATTTGGCAAATTTGCAATCAACTACAATTTTGTTGGTACATTTTGGTTGAGGACTACGAATATGCATCTACGTATTGGTTGGAGGTTGTAGTAGGTTGCACTTGCGTGGCAGATAAAAATGCTTTACCATTGTATCCTCTATTCATGCCGGAGCTGGCGCCGCCACGACTTCTATCACTGTGACCACCATAATTATCATTGTACGAACCTCTACTATCGCCGCGATTACCAGAGCCGCCGCCGGCCTCACGACCACCGCCGGTGCCAGGGCCGCCTCGGCTATACGATTGACTGGTGCCGCCCTGACGCGGTGGTCCGCGCTTTTGGAACCCATCCCGACCATCGCGATTCATGCCGCCGCCATTGCCGCCACCCGGGCTATATATAACAAGATATCAGAGATTAGATCAAACGTATATATGTATATATAAATATCTTTATATTATCTATTATGTGATGGACTTGGAACTTACCGATCATTTTTCTTGCGATCTGCTATATCTATCTTCAGCGGGTCCGAAAGATCATCCAATTTGATTCGTCCATCGCATTCAAGAGCTCGCTCCAAGTTATCAAGTGTCTCGAACTCCACATAGCAAAAACCCTTGAACTGATCCGTTTCGCGATCCTTTACTAGTCGCACGTGTTTCACCTCGAAATCATTAAATATTTTCATAACATCGCCCTGTACGAGACCCTGTGGCAATTTGCCCACGTACGCAATAAAAGGCGGTTCCGTTGGCAATTGCTTCACATGACGCTCTCCTCCAAAGCCACCTCTAAAATGAAATAAGACATAAACACGAAAATAGCGGTTAGTAGGCGATATACAGTAAAAAAAAAAGAAAAAGAATTTAAAAAAATAAGAAAAACAGCCAGCAACCACAACAACAATATGTGCCGGTCCGGCTGCGTCGCGACGTCGACGCACGTGTGACCGAACCGGAGCCGAAACCGAACGCATTGCAATAAAACAAAAACAGTTGCCGCTCGAATTACAAGCAAACATCAACAATAACAAAGCGGACCAAGCGGTGCGGCTTGGTAAATAAAAGGAGACAATACTGTAATAAAAACAAAAACACACCGAAAAAAAGGCGCGCGCTTTCAATTATTTTGCGGCAAAAAGCTGCAGAAATTCGCCTATGAATCTGGCCATCTATTTAAAGTTTTCCGTAACTATCGAAGGCGGCGCTGACGCTGGCGCTGTCGCTATAGTTGGCGCTGGCGCTGACGTTGGCCCAGCTTCTACTTTGGTAGTTAAACGCCAAAGGCAAATCGCGTACCGCCGACGTCGGCGTCGACAGCGACGTCGGCCAACGGGCGACAGCGCAGCAAATCGCCCGAAAAAAAAATAGCAATGAAAAAGAAATGTAGAAGAAAAAAAACACGCACACTTGCGCGTACACACACACACACACACACCCGCCGCACGTATGTATGCATATACATTTTTAGGGTTTGTGTGTGCGTGAGTGTGTTTGTTTCGTGTGTGTGCGTGTTGCTTGACTTTTGCTTAAACCGCGTGCATTATTATACATTGGATCACTTTTGCACTTGCTGATACATACACGGCGAACGCACTTGCACCAATTTAACACAATTTCGGCGAGCTGGCCAGCACAGTTCTTTAATTATTTAATAATATTTACCTAGCGTGTTCATAACCACCTCTTCCAGCCATGTTTTATTTTTTTCAAATGAGCGAATTCGCTGCAATCCGCAGACTGACTACCAAGATTGTCGCCGTGTGCACGCGCTCCAGTGTGTACACACTTAATGCTGGAGGCGCTGGGGAAAACACCCACTAGTTCAAATTGCTAACATTTTTATAAAATTGCTTCAATATATTAACATAAAATGAATCAATTTTTCGAAGGCTTCACAATAAAAGACAATTCTTGTAGTTTGAAATAACACCCGGGTGCATTTACAAGCAACACTTGCCAATTCGCCGAAGGTACCATTTGCATTTCTCAACACTTAACACGGCAAAAAAAAAATCAACATCATTGGCTTGCCTTAACATCTCTTTATAACATTATATTATGATTTATCTTAAAACCTTGATATTTTAAATGATACAAATAATGCGCATCACATATATTTGTCTGATTGACAAGCTGACAGATGAAAGGTACAATTTCTATCGATATATCGATGCAAATTCGCCGTTAGAAACTCGCCCCATTTGACATTATACAGCACTGTTGCCGCTCGCCTGCTTCTTCTTACGCCTTGTTTCGGCCGAATTGTACACGTTTTTGCTGCAATTTTGTTGGCATTTTCTCTTCAGTTTGCACTTATAATCAATCTGAATACAATAAGCACTCAAACGCATTAAAAATGGCATTAACGTCGCGTTTCTACAACGAAAAATATCCGGAGATTGAAGATGTCGTCATGGTAAACGTGCTCTCAATTGCCGAAATGGGCGCTTACGTCCATTTACTAGAGTACAACAACATTGAGGGCATGATCTTGCTGTCGGAGTTGTCTCGTCGTCGTATTCGATCCATCAACAAATTGATCCGCGTGGGCAAAACGGAGCCAGTGGTTGTCATTCGTGTAGATAAGGAAAAAGGCTACATTGATCTCTCCAAGCGTCGTGTCTCACCAGAAGATGTGGAGAAATGCACCGAGAGATTTGCAAAAGCAAAGGCAATTAACTCCCTGTTGCGTCATGTGGCTGATATTTTGGGCTACGATAGCAGCGAGAAGCTTGAGGAACTCTACCAGAAGACGGCCTGGTATTTCGAAAAGAAATACAACAGCAAAACGGTCGCATATGACATCTTTAAGCAATCGGTGACCGACGCATCTGTCTTCGATGAATGCAATCTGGATGCCGAGACCAAGGAGGTGCTACTTAGCAACATCAAACGTAAACTTGTTTCGCCAACAGTTAAAATACGCGCGGATATTGAATGCTCATGCTACGGCTACGAGGGTATCGATGCAGTCAAAGCTTCGCTCAGCAAAGGTCTGGAGCTGAGCACAGAAGAGCTGCCCATTCGAATTAATCTCATAGCGCCACCGCTGTAAGTCAAGTGTGATCTTAACAAAGTTGCTTACACTGATTACTTTCTGATATCGTCCAACAGCTATGTAATGACCACTGCCACCACAAAGAAGACAGACGGACTTAAGGCCCTGGAGGTGGCCATTGAGAGTATACGCGCCAAGATAATTGAGTTTGAAGGCGAGTTTAAGGTAATCATGGCACCCAAACTGGTTACGGCCATTGACGAGGCCGATCTGGCGCGTCGTCTGGAGCGTGCCGAGGCTGAGAATGCGCAAGTGGCTGGCGATGATGATGAAGAGGATGCTGCCGATCAGGAGGGTATGCAATTTGATCCCGAAAAGGAGTTTAACCACAAAAACACTTCCTTGCGCGCCAACGATGGCGATGATGATGACGACGACGAAGAAGAGTAGATGAAAAGAAAATTATAGAAAGAACCCAATTCGACCTAAAGCAACAACACCCAGCATTAAAAAAAAAGAAAGAAAAGAACAATTAATAAATTATAATGTACATTATACGTATATGTATAATATATTTATATCTATACATGTATATATGAACACGCGTGCGTGTGTGTGTGTGTGTGTGTGTGGGTATCTCTGTGAACCTATACACCTTAAAAATCAACAATAGTACACAAAGTTCCGAAGCAGGTGGCACATTCATTGCAACACAGTTGTGCGCCAATGATCAATTCCTTTTTACAATGCATCGCTGGCGCGGCAGACTGCTAACTAGAATGTCTATATATATATATATATGTGCACATGTATGTACGTGCCTATGGCTTATACATTTATAAATAAATAAAATTTAAAACAAATTGTCCAACAACCACACAAGCCGCTGCTTCCAATTAGTTTTTCACAGACTTGAAACAAATAATCAGCCAAAGGACTTTATAGTCATAGAAAAAGGATTATGTTAACTGGTTCGTTTCATTTCCTAGCTCAAACGCTACGATAATGAGCTCATCGATCAAGAATGTGATGAATCACCTCGCTGAAGCTACAATGCTCACTCGCACATTAGAGCTTTTTAGGTTCCAGGCGCAGCTATCTGAACATAGAGATATATCCTACCAATCACGGAAGCCGACATTCAAAATGTTCAGCCTTTTCATTCCAATCCAATCCAAAAACAATTCACTTTATTTAACCATTCCACTTCTCACATACATTATATGATTATAGTCTTAATACTAGCTCAAATCGTGTATATATGAATATATACATATATTACTATATGTACCTAGATGTGTAAAAAGTGTGCACTTGTATGTGTGTATGTGTGTGTGTGTGTATGTGTGTGTGTGTCTGTGTATTACAGGGTCTGTATATAAATCTATTTGTAGGCTTAGTTTGCAATACGTTCCAAAAAAGGTTTTTGGTTGCAGGGCCCATTCCATTCTGGTTATTAGGTCTAAATAAAATTGATAAGAAATTATAAATCATCGCAATTCCTCGATTAATTAGCTATTGTACAAAGAGATGTAAAAAGTTCATAAAATTGATTTTAGTTTGAGAAAATGAACTCTTAATTCGAATTCGCAAAAGATGTTAAGTTATATCGGATTGAGTTCGTAGTGGTGGTGGTGGTTCCAGTATTGCAAAATGGTTTTGATTGATCCCAGAGCAGTAAAATAGGAGCAGTTGCTGACGCCAGGGAACCAACGTTCAGCTAAGTGCACCGCCGCCAGCGGCGGCATTGCGGCTAAGGAGCATTGAGCTGGCAACGGCCTTGTTGCCATTGCACAGCCTCAACACGGTGAGCACATCGCCTCGCGGATAGCCCAATTGCATCAATTCACTAACATCCTGTTCCGTAAAACTATCCAACGGCTGTATTGAGTTAATATTGCTTATATCAAAGGTGGCGCCGCTGCCAGTGCTGGTAGTAGCCGTGGCAGTGGCTGTGGCAGTAGCTGTGGCACTTCTGCTGGTGCTGGCACCGCCGCCTTCCCGCTTGCTCTGCTCAATGGCCTTGTCGATAGCCTGCTGCTCGCTATCCTCTGGATTACCAGTGAGGCGAGCACAGGCGGGCAACTCGCTTTCGGGTAAAAACGGTGTTGTGGTACCAGTGGTGCCAATGATCAACAAATTTCGTTGCAAGTCAATAAGGCACTGCAATCAAAAAGAGAGAGAAAGATATATATATATAGAACGAGAGGGAAAGAGAGAGCACAGTTGTCGAGCGACTAGAGCCACATGACTCACCTGATGCCGCTTGAGCATGTCCAGGCCCAAGAGCATGTCCATGGGCTGTTGGCCCAACACCGTAAAACTGGACGTCAAATGATCATTCTCAATCTGCAACTGGACCATATGGATGCGACCCAGAATGGGCTGTGTTCCAACACCCTTGGCAATGCCATTCCAGCGCGTATCGATGAGACGATTCACATGACAACGCTCCGCACAGCCCTTGCTCATGATTGTCGTCTGTGCGCCAGAGTCAACGAACGCCTTGACGGGCGTTCCGTTCACCTTGCAGTTAATGTAGCTATAATAATATTGGAAAATAAATACAAATAGATAAATACAAGTAAAACGGGACTCACAGCATTGTGACTGTGCCAAAAATTTCCGGATTGTATTCAATCGCCGCAGCCATATTATCCTGGATATTTTTCTGCTTGATCTCCTCGGCAATGAGCCGCTGTGTCTCCTCGTCAAATGGATCCGCGCTGAGCATGCGCATGCGTTGCTCATTGCGACGCTTGCGCTCTGCTATATGCTCACGCAGCACTCTCGCAAACGTTTCCGAATCACCCGAGTCCAAGGCCTCAGCCAGACGGGTATTGTACTGGCGGAGCAAAGCCAATGTCTCTGGACTGGACAAAAACATTTGACGCACCGTCGCCGGATCATCGTCAAAGTTAACATTGAAATCATCTGTCATGGGCACATCGGAGAGATGTTGCTGCTGTTGCTGCTGCTCTAAATGCTGTTGCAATTGCTGCTGCATACTGAGCGTACTCCCGGTCGCTCCAGCGACCTGTGTGGGCGGACTGCCACCTGTTGTACTCGTCCCGGGCACAGCAATGCTGCTAAAATCCAAATGGGTGATCGATGGATTATTGGCACCTAAAAAAACAATCGAAAAGATTGATCAATTATAGCTTAACATTTGTTTCGACCGATTCAGTCTAAGATATTTATATATATATATATATATATATATATATATATATATATATATATATATATATATATATATATATATATATATATATGCATTGGTCATACATACTATATATATTTAAATACGATTGTTCATTTCTGCATATTTTTCCTGATTCATAAAAATAAATATGATTTTACCAATGAAATCGAACCATTGCAATTACAGAAATAAACAATTCAGAAAAATTTTTACGACCCTATAAAAGAAAACAATATGCCCCAGTCTATGTATACGTATGCAAAAAACGCCTACGCTTCAGGTGCAGGCAAAAAAAAACCAAAGTAAAAAATTAAAACACAAGCAACAGATAATTCAAAAAAGATTGCAAATTGCGCGCGCCCACGCAAACACAAAAAAAGTTAAGTATTCGGACAATGTATGTACACATACTTACATACACACTTATGCATATGTACGCGCATGTTAGACAAGGCCAAACGCGCATGGGGTCATGCGAAACGTCTGCAGCTAGATATGTGAGCGTGTGTGCGTGCCTGTGTGTGCATTCGATTATCTATGTTTAAATGCATATCGATAATAGCGGTGCAAGTGAATTATCAAAATCAGATCAACATTTACATTTACATGTGCACATGCATGTCCAGGCATGCATGCAAGCGTGTGTGACTGTGTGTATATATGTGCATGTGTGTGAATTTAGCTGTGCTGCGTTTGCAGTTTCTTGTCTTTTAATTTTGGAATGTGCAAAAAAGCTCAACACAATAATTTTATATAGTATAGACTGAGTAATGTGTAAAGACAAAAAAAAAACACATTTATTTTTAAATTAAAGATTCTTATATTCCAAAAACAATTCACACACACACACATAGTGATTTCAATAATGCAGCGCTGACCAGGAGCACTGGCCTAGAGCGCGTGCAATGACCCACTTTAACTGTTTAACGCAACGCGCGCATCTTGTTAGTCAGAGTTGAAATTGGACCTGAGGGTTGATGATTCTAACTCACCTGTACGATTGGCATTGCTTCTACGTCGCTGCAGCATTATGCAGTCACCGTCGCGCACACCGAACTGCTGAAGCGTATGCTTATCGTTGGTCAACTCGCGGCCATTGAAGAGTACCATAATTTGGGTAACTTCAGAACCAATTTCCATGGCGCAGAGTGCCTTCAGATTTTCCAGCTCTAAATCTTCGGCAACATCTAGAAAGAAAAGCTTATCATCGGTGGTGGTGACGGTGATTTTCATCGCGTTGGCGGCGTTCGCTTATGTTGTTTATCAAATCACAATGTTTTTGAACACAGTGTCAAGTGCTGATGATCCCTGGGCAAAAGTTATATGTTGCGGCTGCCGCATATGCGTGTTAGTACAGCGCAAATTAATAAATGCGTATGAATTTCGTTGTTGGCTTTACGTTCTTCGCCGTTTTTTTTTCTTCTTGTTCGTTGATTCGTTTTTTGTTGCCTATGCTTTGTTGTTTTGACACAACGAAAACGCCGCTGCCGCTAGGTATGGGGTATACACATATACACCAACGATTCCGATATATCAATGCATGCGATGTTATTTTCAGTGCTGGAAAGTTCGCTGATTAGCCAACAAACGAGTACATAATTAATTTTGGCAAAAAAAAAAACAAAATAAACAAAAAAGTTATAATATATAAAACAACAATCACAAAGAGACACAATAAAAATATTTATTGACAAATTTTCCATAGCCAACTGCAATCTAGCCGATGAACCGATACCAAAGTAGAATCCACTTTTACTAATTCAGAAACAATATGTTTAAGATTAGTAAATAGGTTATTTTAATAAATGTTTTCCTTTGGTTGAAAAACTTAAATTATGGTGATAAATGCTTTCAAAATAATTATTATTAATATGCCAGTGTTAATATGCGCGCAACATTGCAATAGTATTTATTTGGGCTTTCTTATCGATATAGGTATATCGATAAGCAGCACAAAAACGCGAAATTTTTTGTATTATTTACGTATTTGGGTGAGCGAATTTGCGACGAGTGGTCTAGTTTCAAGTTCGTAATCCTAAAATATTGACGCATCGGTGGTCGTTAACACTGTGAACAAGACGCCATGTCAACGCAAAATGTGGGAAATGAAGAAAATGCAGCCACAAAGTCAAAACGACCTTCAGGTGAAAATTGAATAGATATACACAATACACACAATACAGCTACACTCAAGTAACAAGTTGTTGTTGCTGTTGCCTTTGCTGTTGGAGCACCTTGCGCCCTGCCTACCTACCTTAGTAATTTACTCGTGCGTGCGTGCGTATGTCTTTGATAAGAAAGTTCAAAACAGTGACTAATACTAAAAACGAGTGCTTATTGAATGTGTGATCGATTTTTAAAGGCGAGCCTTTCACACCCACCCACAGCTCCATCACACGTACAAACATGAATCACACTAACTTAACATGTTTATTTTACAGATTCAGCCTTTAAGCAACAACGCCTGCCCGCCTGGCAGCCAGTGCTGACCGCACGCACAGTTCTGCCCACCTTCTTTATCATTGGTGTCTTATTCATTCCCATTGGCGTGGTGCTGCTGCACTTTTCTAACTCATCCAATGAACTCATCATCGATTACACCAGATGCATGCAGGTGGGCAACAATATAACCTGCGCTGATTTCTTGGAGGGCACAATAAAAGGCCAGTGTCTGTGCGAGATACCCTTCAATCTGACTGAAGATTTTATTGCAAGTATCCAAACGAAATTGCCTGTATATATTATTCATGAATAACCTTTTGCTTGTCAATTACTATAGGGCAATGTTTACATGTATTATGGCCTAACCAACTACTATCAGAATCATCGACGCTATGTGAAATCGCGCGACGATGAACAGCTGTTGGGCCATCTATCCCTAACGCCCAGTTCGGACTGCACACCTTTTGCCTATGCGGATGACGGAAAACCGATTGCGCCTTGCGGGGCCATTGCCAATTCTCTATTTAATGGTAATCTAACATATTTAAAAACATTGTCCTTGATAACATAAGTTATTTTTTTTATTTATAGATACCTTGACATTGAGCCAAGGCAGCTCAAAAATAAAATTGTTAAACACGGGCATTGCATGGCCGTCGGATAAGCGCGTGAAGTTCCGTAATCCGCCCGGAGACCTGGCAACCGCACTGAAACCATTTGCACAGCCCATATTCTGGACGAAAAGTGTCGATGAATTGGACACGGAAAATGAAGCCAACAATGGTTTCCAAAATGAGGATTTAATCGTATGGATGCGCACTGCCGCCTTGCCCAGTTTTCGTAAACTCTACCGTCGCTTGGACCAAACAAACAATAGTTATTCGAATGGGCTGAAAGCTGGCCAATATACGCTAACAGTGAATTACAGTAAGTGGCGAAGCATCTAGATGCGTATGCATTAGTACATGATATAATTACAGGTTATCCCGTGGTATCGTTTGGTGGCACCAAGCGTATGATTCTATCGACAACCTCTGTACTTGGCGGTAAAAATCCATTCTTAGGCATTGCCTATATTGTTGTGGGGGCCATTTGTGTGACACTTGGAGTGGCCCTGCTATTTATTCATATGCGGTGCAGCCGGAGGTAAGTTGGCCCAACGATTGACGGCTCATCCTTATCAAATCCGGACAAACCTCCGAAATCTCACTAACCATTATCAATACACAACTACATACATACATGCCTACATACTTTCCATTTCCCACCTTCATCATATAGCGTTGAGTTCATTTGAAGCTCAAAAGGCTCAAGTTCCATCAAAGCAAAAATATCTAAATGGCTGTCGAATTTAACGAGCAGTTGGTGCGCGATAAGTATTACCATTTTTTCACCGGCTTATCAGCGCCAGTTAAATGATTACAAGCTTTGCATTTAAAAATATAACTAATCAACTTCTGTTGCTTCCTTTGTCACCCTTCTAGCAGCAACATGGAAATGATAAGCGTCAATCCACATACGCAATACTCGTAGAGGCATTGGATTCGATTATGATAGTACTTTTTGGCAAAGCTCCTCTTGCGACTGGGCACCACATATATTTAGCTATAGTATCTTCTTTAAGCATAATAACTTATGAATGTTTTTGTAACAGAATACACAATTAGTTTCTATTAGTATTTACAACACTGTACGGCGTCGTTGGCTGTGTTGCTTTTTTTGTTACCATATTGTAATGCTTACTTTGTTTTTGCACTTTTAATTACATATAATGTGTTTGTTAATGTTTCGTGTAATAATGCCTTCTTAAGTATTAGACTATTGCCCCAACAAGACCAAATAGCAAAAATGCCTCACAAAGAAATATTAACAAAAGAAAACACAGAAAGTTCAACCTTAGACTATTAGTGCCCATGCCGTCATTTAGCAGTGGGCATTAACAAATGTGTTTTGTATGGCAACCATTTTAAGCTGGCACTATTCAAATATATATAAATATATATTATAAATGTGTATTGATATTTTATTAAAAGTGTGCAAACAAAGAAGTTTCTTTCATTTCATTTGCTGCCGTTAACGCACGAGCATGGGGGAAATTCTTTTAGCAATGTTGGATAAATCGATAAATTCCTCTGTCAGAGCACTGTTATCGAAAGTTGGCGCGCAGCGAAATTTTTTCAAATGTTGACAACGATATGAGCAATATTTATTCAATAATATAAACTATAATATCAATATAATAAATGCAGTTGTTTCATTCATGTTGTCTTTTTATTTAATGTGTAATCTGGGCTTTAAACTAGTTTTTCCAATTACATACATAAACCTTAAATTAGTTTTACAAGTAAAAGGTATGTTTTGCAAATCGCCATAATTAATTAATTCGTAAGCGTAATTAACATATGCAGTATGCACTATTTATCTTCATTTGTTTTTGTTTTTTTTTTTCGTTTTGTTTTTGTTTTTTCTCTATACGACGAATATGATTTGAATAATGAAGCATGGAAACGAATCATTTGTAAAATGCATCATTAAATATAAATAATTAATATACACATTACATACTAAATGTTTAATGAATGGGGGGCAAATTGCTAATGCTGTGTATCTGTGTATGGGTATGTGGGTGTGTGTTTATGGCAAACAAATTTACTTTTCATATTACAAAATGCGTTCGAATCTTTACATAGATCAACTTTTTACTTTGCATAGCCAAATGAAATTTATCCATTGCCTTCAATCCTTCATCAATCTATGGCAATGAAACATTTTTTTCTTCTTTTAAATAAAATGATAAATTACATGAATTTAAATAATAAAAATGATATAGATAAATATATAAGGCATTTCTGCTGGAAATTAAAGATGCTTAGCTTAAACTATGCGAGTCCAAAGAGTTTGCCGAAAGATACAAAAAGAAAAAAAGAAAAAAAAAATATATATATATATATTAATGAAGATTTACTGTCCGAACAGACGTGCAAATGATTTTATAAACTTGAATATGCCTTGAATATATTTCAAATCCGTGAAATTCTAAAACGAAAGTTTAAACTTAAGATCGGTTTCCGAAACCCAACGGCAGGCAAAGTGCAGAAATAAAACAAAAAAAAAAAAATAATTTTAATAAAATAAAATAATTGTTAAACGTTAACAGCTAAATTGAATGTTAGCTTTTACTTTTTTCATTTTGTTTTGTGGTTGTTGTTGTTTTTTTTATTATTATTTTGCCTTCTCGCTTTTGTTGTGTTTGCTTTGGTGCGTCGTCGTCGCCGTAATTTCTCGCCTGACAATTTCTAATTTCTTATTAACCTCTTAAATATTTGTATTCATTCTCTATATACTTATTTACGTATGTTTATATATATATATAGTTAGATGGATATATATATATATATATATATATATATATATCCTGCTTAACTAACTAAAACTCAAAACTGGAGACGCTTTTGCGTCTGTTTGTTGTCTGCGATACCAACTAATTTAACATGTAAAAAAAAGGTTTATATATATATATATATATATATATGGATATATGTACTATGGTATTATATCATATCAAATATGTAAGCTTAATTTGTCTGCGTGTGCGTGTGTGCGTATGTGTGTGTGTTTGTGTGTGGGTACATTTTGCAGGCAATATGATTTATATCAACTACAAGAGAAAAAAAATTGTGTTTAACACACACTCACACACAGCTCTCCTTTTATACATATGCATGACTGTGTGTGTGACTGTGCGTGTGTATGTGTGTGGGCGTGTGTGTGTGTGTTCGACAATGGAATGCGTTGCGGATGTGTGCGATGTGGTCTTTGTTGTGTTTTGCTTTTTGTACATTGTTTTTCAAGCTCAGTTCAAGCTGCTGGCTGTGTCTGCAGCTGCTGTTGCTGCAGCTGCTTCAGCGGCAACTGTTGCTGTTGTCGTTGATGTTGTTGTTGTTGTTGTTGCTGCTGCTGTTGTCGTTGCTGCTGTTGTTGCAGCAGCAGCAGCATTGTCACCTTTCGTTGCATCCAAGCCGGACTTTTTGGTTTTGCTTTTGCTGTTATTGTTATTATTATTGTTATTATTATTGTTATTATTATTATTATTATTATTATTATTATTATTATTATTATTATTATTGTTGTGGGTCCTGCCGCTGCTGCTGCTGCCAGCGCTGACACCGATTCTTCTGCAATTGCCGCTGTTGCTGGCGCTGCTGCCGCTGCTGCCACCCGCCGACGGCCCATTCAGAAAATGGCTTTTAATATGTGACTGCAGTTGCTCCTGAGAATCGAAACAAAGTTGACATAGATCACACGTATAGGTGGAATTAGACTGATCAGTGGCAGCGCCATGTGCCGCTGATTTAACTACTGATTTTTTACGCCGCTCACCAATTGAATGCGATGTTGTTGTCGTTGACTCGCTCTCAGATGATGATGTAGCATCAGCATCCACATCACCATCAGCATCACCATCCCCATCACCATCACCATCGCCATCAGCATCAGCAACACCATCATCAGCCTCACCGTCGCCAATGCTGATGCCGCTGACCATCACAGCACCGCCGCGACGACGATTGTTGTTGCCAATATTGACGCCATCATCATCGTCGTCGTCGTCGTCGTCATCATCGTCGTCGTCATCATCATCATCATCGTCGTCATCCTCATCCAAATCTTCCTCAACATCATCATCGTCATCATCATCATCCTCAACAACACCGCCACCGACACCAACCACATCGTCATCATCCTCCCCATCATCTTCTTCAATAATATCATCAATGGTCATCGCTTCACCTACGCCCTCCTCATCCTCATCATCATCATCGACATGACCAACACCAACACCATCCTCATCCTCGTCCTCCTCGGAACTATGCATGACCAGCACCGCCGCCGGCTGTCCCTTTGACTTTGCCAGCTGCTGCTGCTGCTGCTGCTGCGGCGTCACTTTCCCATTGCCGTTCAGCTTGGCGCTGTCTGAGCGCGAGTAGTCAAAGTTGAGGCGTCTCGTCTGCTGCTTTGCATTGGCTGTCAGCTGTTGATGCTCATCGGTTGTATGACCATCGTCGTCGCCGTCGTCATCCTCATCGTCGTCATCATCGTCGTCTAACTCCTCGACAATGCCATCTTCCTCGATGACTTCCTCAATGAGGTCATCGTCATCATCGTTTGCAACTACGCTATTGCTGTGGCTGCTGTTGTTGCTATTGAGGGGCTGACTTTGTTGTTGTTGTTGTTGCTGCTGCTGTTGTTGTTGTTTTTGTTGCAGCAATTGTTGTTCGACAACAGCTCCATCCACATCTTCATCATCATCATCATCGTCGTCGTCGTCAACTTCGCCCTCATCGTCATCATCGTCGTCGTCCTCATCATCATCATCAGCACTTGTGCTATCCCCATCGCCACTATCGCTATCATCATCATCCATATCACTATCGTCCGCCTCATCATCTTGCTCAGCATTATCATCATTTGCCGACTGCTGCTGCTGCTGTTGCTGTTGCTGCTGTTTTGTTGCCACCTTCATTGTCAGCTCCTCCAGTTGTTTACTCTTATTAACTTTTCCAGCTGGTGCCGCCGCTCTAATTATGCCCTTTGCTCCAACTCCCGTTGCTGTTGCTGTTCCTGCTGCTGTTGTTGCTGTTCCAGCTGCCGTTTTTGCTGTTGCATTCTTGTTGGGCAGCACGGAAACTGGTGGCGCCGCCTTGGTGGCAGCCGCCAATGTTGCCACGGGCACTATCACATCCTCTTTGAGATGATTGTTAATGTGATTGATGAGCTTCTCTTTGCGCGACAAGTACTCGCCGCACAGATCACAGCCCCATTGGAATGGACAGAACGGACGAACCACTTTGGCGTCCGCCAGCTTATGCTCGATCCACAGCTCTTTGGTATCGAAGCGTATATCGCCGCAGCGACGACACGTTAGCGGCTCATCCACTTCTATAACTGGCGGCTCTGGGAGATTGCTGACCTCGTGCTTGTGCAGCTCGTACATGTGGCGTCGCAGGTTGTTGTTGCTAATGAATGTGGAGGCGCAATATTCGCATTTAAGTTCACGTTTTCGCTTCATCGACTTGCTCGAGCTGCTCGATGTGTTGTTCCGTTGCTGTTGTTGTTGCTGCTGTTGTTGCAGTTGTTTCTGGTGCTGCTGCTGGTTGGGCATCAGACCCACTGCATGTAGCTCGCGCAGCATCAACGAGGAGCTCAGCGAATTGTTGTTGTTGTTGTTGCTGCTGCTGTTGTTCAGCGTTGTCGCTTCGCCGTCGATGATGGGATTCTAAATATATAAATATAAAACAAATTAGTACAACCACACAAAACTGCACCACCCGAAGCGGTGGTGCCCTCAAATTCATCTAAATTCAGCAATTTGTATTTGCTTTTCCCTATCGTATGAACATATCTATATTTTTTTGTTTATTTTTTGCGACTGGTGCGGAGGCAACAAACAACAAAGGTTAATAATTTACACACACGAATGGATCCACACGACATGGGGGATCCATCCACACAGATTTCACCTCGCTGCACAAGCCCAAAAAGCTCACCTGCTTGCTATCACCTCTGAAATGCCACTTGCGATGCACCTTGAGCGCAATCACCTGGGGGAACGTCTTGGTGCACAAATCGCACGCATATTCCCCATTCTCGTTCTGCCGCTCCACCTGAAATTGGCCAGCATCGGCTGGGCCATCGTCGAACATGGCCGCCAGTGGATTGTCCACATACAGATCCTGTTCGTGCTTCTGTATGTGCTTGGTGAACATCTCCTGGTCAGTGAATCGAGCACCACAAATGGTGCACGCCACCTCCGGTATGCGTATCTTCATTGTGCTCGCATTTATCGTATTTGGATTGCTGCTGCTTGTGGCCGCTGCATGGATCACATTGCCGCCGTTGCTATCGCTGCCAACGGCACCATCGTCCAGCAGCAAAAGCTGATCGTCCTCCTCCTCCTCGTCATCATCGCCCGTTTTATGCTTGAATATGGCGCGATGTTGTTGCATTTGCAGCTGTTGCTGCTGGTGTTGTTGCTGCTGCTGGTGCTGGTGCTGTTGCTGCTGATCCTGCTGATGGGCGCCGGTGGCAGTGATGGGCTTCCGATTGCAGGTGGGCGTATGATTCTCCAGCATCTGGCGATCAAAGAACATCTTGCGGCACAGCGTGCACTCAGCCGGATCTGGTACCTGCGGATGCTTCTTATACCGATGCACCTACAAATTGCAATTGATTAGCCAATGAAACTAAAACAGCGCATCCACAGTGTGGCATACTCACCCAGAGGCTCTTGCGTCCGCTGTAGACATTGCCGCAATCCTTGCACGAATAATCGTTCGAATCGAACTCGTCGTGCGAATTGATGTGTATGGCCAGTTTCTTGTTGGTATTGAAGTTGGATGGGCAGTACTTGCACTGGTACCAGTAGAGTGGCAGGGCGGCCACAGCCGTGCCCGATGCGTCGATCAGGTCAGCAGCTGAGGTAGCGGTAGATGATTTGGTTGATGACTTGGACGCATCGTTGGCGCCCATTTGGGATTTGTGAACGCTGCGCTTGTGCTGTTGCAGCTCCAGCTCGGAGCTGTACACAATCGAACAGATATCGCACTCGAACTGCTTGATAATCATCTCGTCCTTTATGGCCCGTCCGTGCACCTTGAACAGATGCACCTTGAGGCCCTTCTCATAGGCAAACTCGGCATTGCACAGCTTGCACTTGATGAACTGCACGTTCTGCACCTGATGGTCGGTGAGCATATGATAGCGATATGATTTCTTCGAACTGAATCTGCGCTGGCAGATGCGACAGCGCATGCGTCGAAAGCGGCGATCGGCTGCCTGATCCAAGCTGCGCCGGAACACGGCCTGTTCCTGTGGCGTCTGATGCACCATCGCTGGTGGCAAGCTGCCACCAGCTGTGACGACTGTTGTTGGGGTTGCTGCTGCTGCCGCCGGCGCCGCATTTGCTGCTGCCATGCTGGTGGACGACGACGACGCCGCAGTCGTGTCCAATGACGGAGCTGCAGTAATTGTCAAAGATTTGGGCGTCATGCGATTGGCAGCCGCCAGCGCCGCATTGGTCGCCGTCGAGGCTGTATAATGCGAGCGCATATGATTCGACAAGCCAATGTTGTTGCTAAACACCGCATTGCAGATGAGACACTCCTTCTGCTGATTGGCAATGCTCATGTTGATGCTGCTATTGTTGCTGCTGTCGTCGAGTCGCATCTTTTTGGCAACGCTTCCGCTTTCCTCCTCCTCATCATCTGTCAAGGGAGAGAGAACAGTGCATGAATTTAGAAGCTGCTTAAGCAGTGAGCTATATAGACCTATAGATATATACATATATATAAGCAATGCCTGAACAATACAAATATTCACTTTACATTTAAAGAGAGTTCAGCAATTACAAGAATCGCATAGAGAGGCGATTGACTTATCTAGATTTCAATTGACTTTATCTATGGGCATTGCCTATATATATATATATATAAACATGTGAGAGAAAGCATGTTGTTGGATGACAGGGACATTGGCACAGGACTTCACACTAGGTTGATGGGTTTGATGGGGGGTCGCCAAACAAAAAATTACCGAGTGTCCCACCATTTGTTATTGACATCAGATCCTTCATCACATAATCATATCGCCCGGTATAGACGTTCGGCGTGCTGCCATCCGCCAATTTAACTGCATCGGCATTCACAATGTATTCAAAGCCGCCCGAATGCCGATTCTTGTCCACGCCGTGCACATTGATCATGTGCTCGCGCAGATAGGAGATTCGCGGATAGCCCAGGCCGCAGCGCACACATTTGTATGTCTCGGGCAGTTTGTTGGGATGCTTCGACTCCATGTGACGCAGCACGTTGTTGTAGTTGTTGTACTGTTGGCCACAAATGGGGCACACCTGTGGCATGCGGGAGAAATACTGCGATTTGGGTGCATCGCGGCTGCCCGACGTGGAGCCGCCACTGATCGCTGTTGCAGCTGCGCCGCCCGCTGTTCCAGCTGGTTTCGGTGTTGAGGTGAAGGCCGATTCCACTGCATTGTTATTGTTATGAATGCTGCTGCGTGACTCATCATTCGATGACTGACTCACACCAATCCCCAAGGCGCCTAGCAGGCTGCGTTTACCGGGCGAATGATCCATGCCGCTGTTAGCTGTAGATGCATTATCGCTGCTCACACCGCCCAAGTGATCCTGGTAGACGTGATCGAGGAAGCGCTGATGCGTCTCCAGCTTGGCATCGCAGGTCATGCAGCGCAACCGCACAATGCAGTCCATATTGTTGTAGTGGCGACGACGATCGACGGGATCGGCAAAGTCCAGTTCACAGAAGCTGCACTGTATCGAATTGTTATCCTTGCGTTGCACATCCGCATGCTTGTCGTACACATGCGTGCGGAACTCGTGCTTGGTGCGAAAACCCTTCGGGCACAGCTTGCACTCATACAGTTTGTTCACCAACAGCTCCTTGGCACGCAGCTTCTCGGGCCGCTCCGTTGATGTTTCGTGTGCCGCTGCCTGGCCAATGCTCAAATCGGCGGAGACAGCCGCTCCAGATGCGCTGGCATGCGAAAAGTTTGGCTGCTTCAAGCGCAAAGCGTTGAGAACGCGATACAAATTGATGCAGTTGCGCTTCTTCAGATGCGATATGAACAGCGCCTTCGAGTCGTTCATCTTCAGGCAGTTGAAGCACAGATTGCGCGGCAGCAGCGGATACTTTTTGCGCACATGCGCCATAAAGTTCTTGTAGGTGTTGAAGTACTTATTGCAGCAGCGACACGTCATCGTCTGGTATTGCTCCAGAAACTCATTGTTCTCTTGTATGAACTCCACCTTGTCGCGTGTGAGCAGCTGCTGATACTGTTCCGGATTGTCGTAGTCGAAGCCGCCATTTTCGCATTTGATGAACGTATTCATTACCACCTGGCGATACTTTTGCGCTGATATGTTGCCACCGGCGGCGGCTTTGGTTGCTTCCGCGGTGGCTGCTGCCGCCGCTGCGGCACGTTGAATTTCCAGAGCGGCGGCTAAAGCCGGCGTTGGTTTTGTGATGGGCGTATTATTTGGTGAATCTGTCGACAATTGAAACAGATTCGGATGCAGATTGCGTTCGTGGCGTCGGGCATTGGCGCGCGTCGAGAACTGCAAGCTGCAGGCCCGACAGCTGGCCACCTTTGAGTCGCCAGCGGCGGCCACGTTTGCAACCGCGCTTGCGGGCAGCGATGCCGCCGCCGCAACCGCCGTCACGCCGTGTTGCGCCGTGTAATCATAGTCGGAGGTCTGTTATGCAAAAAGAGAAAAACAGAAAGAGAGAGAGGGAGAGAAAGATGGAAAATTGAGATTATCCAACTGACATACATACATATAATTTATTTATTTTGCTTTGCATGCGTGAATCATTTCTGGCATCGACTCCAGTTTCAAATACGGTTTAAAATTTAAGTATTTGCCCAATAATTCTTAGGCCTAGTTGATTGAGTTTCGCTATTATTTTTAATTGCCCCCCAATCTTGACTCTGGGTCCACACTTCGAAATTAATCGACAATTACCGAGTTGCCGCAGATTTTATTGCTTTGATTGCTTCTGTTTAACGTTTCAACATTTGTCTTGTAATTGTTTAAATATTAAATGGTATAACTTTAAGGTGTCAAGAATACATATATATATATTAGTTTGAGCGTTATAATTTCATGTAATTTTGTTATTGGGATTTGGATGCTTTTTCGCATAAAAAGTGATTCAGTTTCCAATGAGATTTTGATTTTTTCTGGTATTTTGGTATTTTAAGTAAGTCTAAATTAGTGCGTTTTTAATTGTTTAGCGGAAGGTAAGCAGCCATTATACTTTAACCGTTGCTTTTTCAAGTATATATACATATGTATGAAATTCATATTTGTTTTTAATATTTAAATTCGATATACCAATGCTTACCATTAGTGGAACATCGCCCTCATGCTCGGAGCGCTCTAGGAACATTGTGGGATCCATCATATCATCGGACTCGTCTATACACTTCATTTGGAAGTCATCGTCCGTATCGTCAATGGGCTCATCCTTGATCGGTACGACGGGCAGCGGCTGTAAACGAAACACACACGCGATACGTTGTTAAGTTGCCCACAGTTATGGAAGCTAATTCAATATATATGTATATAAAAATATTTGTATATATAGATAAATATATAACATTCTGTGCAATTTGTAGAACAGAAAATATGCACTGGCTGATGCATCTGGTGAGGTTGAGGGAGTTGGTTGTGTATGTGACTTTTGGACACGCTTGCGAATGCACGATACAATTACATTATAGGAATAGCGCCTGAAAAAGCGCAGCTGCTGAGCAGCGCTCTGTAGCGTCACCGGCATGAGCAGAGGAGTCGTGACTGCGGCTGCGGCTACGGTTGTAGCTGAGACAGAGGCCGAGCTAGAGACAGCGGCGTTGCTGGTCATTGTTGCAGCTGGCAGCGGCGGCAACAGCGGCGTCGACGGCGGCAATGGCAACGGCAACACGCTGCCATGTTTCTGCTGACTCTGACTCGCATTCGGATTCGGATTCTGACACTGATTCTGACTAAAATCAAGCGGCAGCGGCAACGGCAAAGGCAACGGCGCCAACTTAGCACTAGCAGCAACAGTGTCGGACTGCTGTGAAGGCGTCGGCAACAGCGGTGGCACCGATATATCTAGTGGCAAATACAATTTCGGCTTAAATTTTACCATTCGCTGACCAGACATTGTCGCTTGTTGCTGACGTCTTGGCTGACGAATTCGACTCAAGCGCTGATGCTGTTGTTGATGACTTTGTTGATGGTGCTGGTGGTAATGTTGTTGCTTGACACGTTGCTGCTGTTGCTGTTGATATTTGCGCTGTTGCTGTTGCTGTTGCTGTTGCTGCTGCTGTGTTGACGTCGTTGCCAATGCTGCTGTTGAGGGCACCTGCAATAAAAGGGTCTGCAGCGTTTGCTGTGATTCCGCCGCCGCGCTCGATGCTCTTGCTGCATGCTGCACTGGCTGCTGTTGCTGTTGTTGCTGCTGTTGCTGTTGTAGCTGTTGTTGTTGTTGCTGTTGTAGCTGTTGCTTGGGACTCACATAAACTGTTAACGATTTGCGTTTCTTCAACGAAGGTATGCCATCCAAAATGTTGGCGGACGCCTTTTCAGCTGCAATCGCTGCTGAATCAATATTCGATTCGTGCTGGTGCTGTTCAATGGAGCTGCCATTCTCCGTTTTGTTCAAATCCAAATATCCCAAAAGCGTCTGCTGCTTGCTTTTATCGCTGTCCAGCCATTGGCGTTGCTTGGACTGTGAGCTGAGGCAGCGATTCTTAAAGCTCTGCCAAGAGTTCAAATAGCTGATGCAGGCATGGCAAATATGCAGCGATAGACGATCCAATGGCGTGATCTAAAAATATATATATATTTAAATTACATTAGAATGCATTATTCTAACAAAAAAAGTATATATTTCAATATTTAAAAATTTAACTAACTTTACTTTAATTTATGAAACAAAATTACCGTTACTTTTGAAAATGTGTTCAAAAAAAGCTGATTGCCATTTTTGTCCATCTTTAGCTCATTTATTTATTCTGTAATTTTTAGCCCATTTATTCAGTATTAATGCGGTCACATGACAGCTCCCAAAAGCTATTGCTAAGCCCAATATTTACAGTAAATAATTTGTATCTCTATCTCAGTAAATTTGCTTATTTTCAGTATGGCATAACTAGTATAGGCACGCATTATTGTAATGCATTGGGGATGCGAAGTCATCGGCATTGTCAACCCCGCATCCTAAAATAATTCTCTCACACCTTTGACTAAGTTGAAACGGTTTGGATTTTCTTCGTCTATGACAGTAGCATTTCAGGCGGTTGCTAAAGCAGCGGTAAACCTACAATGCCTTTAAGTACGTCTCTTAATGTCAATGACCTGCATATAATTATATGCAAAATTCAGTATTGCTGCAGACCACATACGCACACACACTTACACACATAAACAAGATTGCATTTCAAATGCGTGTCCCATGTCCTTTCGCCTGATAGCGCTTTGTGTATGTAAGTGCGTATGTATTGATATCCACATATATATATATATATACAATCATGTAAACACAGTGGTATGCATGTATATACATTATTATGTATTTGGCTATGTATAACTTGACTGATGCAAATTAGGCACATGAACATCGAATTGTTGTGGCTCTTTTAGCTTGCTGCTGTGTTGCGTACATAATATGTTTTTAATTGTCTGTAGCATGGGACCATTTTGGCTTTTCAATTAAAAGTATATGGAATGGAAATAAGACTTAATTATAAATATATATTAATATCATATTGTAGGTGTTTGCGGAAGAAAGAGCATGGAATGCGCATGTAGACCACGATTTTATAAATACATACATATGCGTATATTTACGTACATATATATGATCTTATGATTAAGTTGTAATAAGTTGTGGATGCGATTGTAAATTGCGACAAATTCAAATATCTGGAACCCTTAAACCAAATTGTATTCATTATATATTGATATACTAAACAATTTTGAAAAGTATAATTTAATTGACGTTTTTAATTCGAAATTGAATTATAATAATTAATTGAAGATATATAATTGTATTCATGCGATATGTTACGCTTGCGACAACATCGCAATAATTAACTATCGCATTTTTAAAGTATCGATAACAAGTGGCCATTGCCAAATTTAAATAAATAAAATACGAAAACAAAAACCAAAACAGAAGCGCAAATAATCGTTGATTGTTGCTGTTTAGCCGGTAAATGCATTTGACAGCTTGGAATAATCAAATGCGTTTGTAAAGTACATACAGACATATGTATGTATTTGTTTCTGCATTACGCATACACACACACGAGTTCTTGTAACTGCTTCTTTTTGCATCTTCATTTGTTTTTGTAATGCGTAAAAACAAACAACTCGCACCCATGCCGCCTCACATTTCCACTCCACAGCGAACGTGTTGTACTTCTTGGCCATATATGCAATACACATGTACATTTGTATATATGTACATGCATAAATACGCAAGCACATACGTTTATATACAAATGCCTTATGTACCCACTTGAGTCCTGCAATGCTCGTCCTACCGAGCTCCCCCGCCACACTTCGGTTTTGAAGGGTTTCGATAATATGTTGTTCATTCACCTTGTTACCCATACCTAGCTGCCCGCACACAACATCCTGTTGGGCACATCTCTTTCTCAAGTGGCACTGAAGCAGGAACACCACCAAAAGTCTTTGCCCTAAGGGTCTAAGGGGTGATGGCTTTAATAGACATTATTAATATTACTCTCGTTGTCTTTGATGGCTTTTGTTGTTAGCGGTAAATGTTCATTACAATTAAATTCGAAAAAAAAACGCGGCTTTAGCAATCGTCGACTAAAAAATAAGAAGAAAGCTGTAAGCGAATTTAATAATTACGTAGCTTATTTGGTATTTAGCTACGTAAAACGATATTTTTTTGGTATTTAATCTGAGCACTAACTGATGTCTTAGCAATTACGATTTTGAGTAATATATAACGGATTCTTGTTATATTTAGTTTGTTTCTTTTTTTAAAAAGGGTTTTTGATTCGTGAAATTATTTGCAGCAAATGTGCTTGGGCTGCATATCAGCCAAAAGGCACAAATCGTTTTGGCAGCAGGCGTTTTAGAAAGTTGAAAAGGAAATCTTTCATCCATCAATACAAACAAGATGCAGAAGCAGCTGCCACAGTTGCCAGCAGCTGCTGTTGCTGCTGTGTGTTGTTGGCCACCAGGTGCAACAATCATCATCATCTGCGCGCTGCAAAGCCATGACGGCAACACCAAGCTGAGAAGATGCTGCCCAGAATTAAAACGTCGCTCGGGCACAGCCTGTCCAGCAACGCCGCATGATCTCGGGAGCTGAACAAGTTTTGGGTTCTTGTTATCGTTTGTATTTTACTTCATTGCCGTATTTGCCTTTGTGCCCTTATTCGTTGTCAGCTGAGTATGTATGTATGTATATGTGTGTTTGTTTGTGCGTGCATGTGTGTGTGCGTGTCCTTTCCAACAAAAGTAACCCTAAGCATTAGCAAGCCGTGTGCAGATCTTTACCGGTTGTTGTTGCCGTATTGAATTACACAAAAGCAGAATAACAACAATTGCAATAACAACAACAACAAAGGCGATTGCAAACATCAGTCAAGTGCATTTGTCGCTAACAGATGCATCGATAAATCGTCTGGTTATCGATTTGCAATATGCTTGAAATGGATGAATGGAAAGGCAAAGGCTTCTTTTTATCAGTGTCATCTTTCTCTTTCTCCCACTCCAACTAATGGCCATGGCTATGCCCATGCCAACCTTTTCACCCGAGCGCTTCTGATCAGAGAAAGTTTTTTGTTTTGCTTCCACCTGAACTTGACTTGCATGGGCATGGATGATGTGTATCCGAAATTCGATGCAGACAACTGGTAACAACTGCAACTCCTATGCCCAGGTTAATCTGCTTGAACAGAGCGACCGAAAAAAACATATACGTACATACGTTTGTATCTGCCCTGCCCTCTGCTGTTCTACTCTGTGCTTTGTGCGTGTGTGTGTATGTGTGTGTACATGTGGTCCGCCTCCAGATAACAAGCGAACCGCACAGCGATGACGCCAACCAAATGGTCGCTTGTGTGGAAATATTTGAAAGTGTGTGTGTGTGTGTGTATTGGTTGAGCTGCTGCTGTTGCTGCTGGTGTATTCACCATGAAATCGAGCCAAAGCGAAACCAAAGAGCAACCTAGTGCCAGCGCCAAGCACCAAGCACACGCATCAGCAACGTGTCGACAACGACAACGACTGCGACGACGACGACGCCGACGTAGATGATGATGTCGTTGCCGGGGGCGCAGTCCAGAGAGTCATCGTCGTTGCTGCGTTGCGGCGAGCTATGCTGAGCAGCAGGCAACCATTTTGTGTTGAACGAAAAGTGGATGACGAGGGCGACTCTGGCTCTGGGTTCGCCTGAATGGTTGCCTGCCTGCCTGCTTGCTTGCTCGCTCATCGGGCTGCCTGCTGGCTCAGCTGTGTGCCTTGTGTCTGCCTGCAAGAATCAATAACCGACCCGAGAGCACCAGGCAACAAAGCGTCGCTAGCGAAGCCCACAAATCCAAAAGGCAGTTTCATTCGCCGTCTTTCTTTTCATTCCCATTTTCCTCTTTACTTGAATATATATTTTTTATCGGTTCTCCTTTGTGCGGCTGCTTTGCCCCAGAGGTGCCTGCACCGGATATCATGAGCCCAGCGAGGAGTCACAAATGGAAGCCAGTGAAGGACACAACAAGAGCGCGCGCGCAAGCATGAGAGTGCTCATGGAGAGAGGGAGTGAAAGAGAGACAGAGAGGGAGAGCGAGAGAGTCATCTTTAAGGCAAGGGGGCGGGCAAGATGAGAGCGAAACGGAAATAGACTGGACGCTCGCTGGGCTTGGTCTGATACTGCTGATATTAATCGAGACTTGGAACTGGGCAGCAGCCGCAGCTCTGCCATGCGGAGCCAAAGCCAGAATCGCCAGCGTCGTTGTACAATGGCGGCGAATTCCATGGAAACGAGGCGAGCACAAAAATTATACGTAATTGCTCTGGCGCTGGGCAGGCACAGCAGCAGCAACAGCGGCAGTCAGAGTCTCAGCGGCAACCACAGCCGATATGAAACGAACCAAGCGCGACCCAAGCTCCACACACAGACTCATACACACATCACATCGACACATACACATACACACGAACGTCTCTTCCTGCCCTCTCTGGGCACGCCGCTCTCAATCTCGTCGATGGTGACGGCCTCGAAAAATTTGTTGCCGTTGAATGGCCGTTCGGGCGCCGCTGCCGCTCATTGCTCTCTACATTTTGTGCTGCTTTTTCGTGCCGTGCCGTGCCTTTCGTTCTGCTTAGTGATGGTCGAAGATACAAAATTTCAATATTGCACGAATGATATTTCACATGTCTGCCATAATTATTAGTTTTTGTTCCTTTTTATTGCATTTATCGAAATAGTACATACGTGAGCAAGCTCAAATAGCCCAACTTTTAATTAACTTTCGATAAGTTTCGCTTTTCGTTTTTAAGTGTGCGGGCACGCACTTGACTCATCTCTAGTGTTGAGCTTAGCGGCAAACACATTTAAAACGGGGAATGGGGAAAATAAGAAGAAGCAGTACAAGCACAACCAGCAGCAACAGCAACAAAAATGTGTAAATAATAAACAATGGACATAGTTTGTTGTTATTATTAATTGTATGCTTTTGCTTTTGCCGGCCAACTCTAACCTCAATGCTTTGCATGTACGGGAATAGGAATGACCAGCATTGAATCCCAACCACGCCAGCTGCTCATGGTTTGGTTTCTGTTCAGTTTCATGCCAACGTAGCACACGAAATGCCGATGATGACGATGACGCCGACGACGACGACAACGACGTTAACGTCGGCAATCGAGCAGCGAGCGACAAACCAGCCAAGCAAGCAAGCAAACAAGCGGCAGCAACAGCAGCCAGCGAGCCAGCCACAGGCAACGCCAGCGACAACCACAACGACAAAGTTACACCAATACCAATAAACGGCGATGGCCGTCGCGTCGTCGTTGCCGTCGTCGTCGTCGGGCATCGTGACTTGGCACTTCAAGCAAAGCCAGAGGCAGACGGTACAGAGCCGGAGCACACGGCATGGCATGGACAAGCACAAATGCGAATGCTCGATTCCGTTTCCATTTCCAATGATGATGATGTTGCTCACGGGCAAGTGCCATTGAGACAGGGAACAGGGCAGGGGTAAAGCGGTGGAGATTGGATTGTATTGGGTAGAAGAGAATGCTGCTGCTGCAGCTGGCAACGAACGAAACAACGTTTGGCTCGGTCTCGTCGTCGTTGTCGTCATCGCCAGTGCTTGCACAATCAAATGGGGCCAGCCAGCAGCAGCAGCTCGCGTCTGATGAGGCATATTTTACTTTTGGTTTCGCATTTAACCTCACTTTCTTGCTATATATTTTTTTTTTGGCCAGCGAACAGGCAGTAGAGCTAGGTGAAGTTGTCGATATTAGAAGTGTTATCGATTACACACTCACAGACAGGAAACGCCATTTAGCAAGAGCAGGAGTAGATTACCTATCAGCAAAGCTCGGGTGTGGCTGCCTGCCGGCCGTTTGCTCCAGCTCCGAGCAGCAGGGGAATGGGTGTCATCAGTGTGTATAACGGTTTCGCATTATAGGAGCACACTGGCGGCGGCAGCAGCAGCAGGTAGAAATCGAATCGATGGCGATGTCGTTGTCAATGTGTGGATGAGTGTATTACGTATGCCGCTGGCAACAACTTGATTCGGTTGGCAACATTTGGTTTACTCACCTTGATATTTACGCAGTTGTGTATTTTAGTGGCCAGCGGTTCCTTATCGGCCGCATAACTGTTAATGATCGAAATGCATTCGCTGGCGGGCGCAATGCACAGGCGACAGCAACTTTGTCGCGTACGCTCCTCCATTGCTGTCAATGTGGTATCGCCAGCAGCACCTCCTGATCCTGATCCTGCTGCTGGGATTGATGTTGTCGTTGTAGTAGTGGCGACAGCGTCGCACATTTTATGATTAAAATTAATATCTGATTGTTGCTGCTGTTCTTTCTTGCTTTGCTTTTCGTTGTGTATTTTGCACGTTTTCACTTTTATTTTGAATGGGGGCGCAACGCGTGAGCGTCGCTGCCGATTCCTCTCACTTTTTTTGTATTTCTTTTAATTTTATTTTCTTTTTTGCAAAATGGTTTTTGTCGCCTCGGCTGCGCGATTGCGGACACTTTTTCGTCGTGTCGTCACATTTCACATCTGCTAATGCCTGGGCACGGGCATTGGTATCGGTATCGGTTAGTCAAAACGACTCCGTCGTGGTCGTATGTCCGCCTGCGTTTCAGTATGCAAAACAAAATTACACAGAAAAAAAAATTAAATGAACGCAGAGCCGAACGACTTCCAATGTACACCTCAGAAGACTACACGTCCGAACCTTGCGACGAAACAACAACAAATGATAATTGCTCCAAGAACAATCGATGACACTGAAGTCATATCGATGACGAATGTTATCCTCCTGTTACTGCACAAGAGTCCATGTTAACTAACAGCAATCGAAAATAATCGATAATAAAATGTGATTGAAACTCTGTAAATTAATTCTTGGTAAAATATTTTTTTGTGCTAATTAAATTGCAATTGATAAGAAATTGCGCTGCCTGCATATGGCTTAAACAAAAATTTGCAAATGTCGATATCAATACTAAATACAATCCTTAAAAGCAGAGATGATGTTGTTAGTTATCGAGTATGATCAGCTGTTTCATTCTATCGCTTAATTTGCTTTCCACACGCTTCGCTAGTGTGCGTGTGTTTTGGTTTTTTGTTTTGTTTTAATTATTGACATATACTCAGTTTTCGTAATTGCCTTCAATTTGATTTTTATTGATTCAAAGCGATAAGAATTAAACAGGTAAAAACAATAACGTACATAGCACGGAAAACAGTGTTGAATGCAAGCAATAGGACAAAGCCATAACACGAAAAGTACGTACGTTGTTGTCGGCTTATCCAACTGTTTAATACACTATATCCCATGAGAAGCAAGCTGTGTAAATTATTGAATTAAGTCTTTATGATTTTAACCTTGATCATTCATTTTTAAATTCTGGTTATAATATAAAAATGTTTAATATTATATACATATGTTAAATTTATGTATGTCCTTTGATACTTAAACAATTCCATATTGGGCTAGCTGAAAAATTTGTTGGCTCTACCCTCAAAACAGATTATTCATGATTTGCACTATCCAATCCTAATAAAAACATAGTTTCGGTTTAATTAGAACAATTGCATTACAGTTTTTTTTATACTGCACTCATCAAACGACATGCGATATCGATAACTACGATAACGTGTGATAAGTATGAAAAATATACCACTTAGTACATATGATATTAATACGTAACGTAAAGCGTGTACACATACATACGTTACACATGTATACGATTGTTGTCATAATAATTCTCATAAAGCTCCATATCCCTATCTCCTTAAATATATTATAATAATTACAAAATATATTTGTAACATATTTTAGCTTGGCTAGCTGCCAGGCTATTTAATAAGCTATAGATCGATCGATTGATTGGTTGCTGTTCGAATTTATTATAAATTGCAAGAAATGTGGAAAATGTATTAATTATGATAAACGTTTTTTTTTTTTATTTTTCATATTATTGTCATCCTTTCTATTTAAGACTTTGAGCTTAAAATATTCTCATAAGATTAGAAAGTTTATTAATAACATTAATAAATTTGATTGTCCACATGTATCGGTAATGTCGAGTTTATGATTGTCACAGAACAGTCATAATAATATGCCCATAAATCATGTTGCAAATTAATTAAAAAAACCATTTAAATTGAGAATCAAATAAAATATTTGACAAGTCATTTGCCGACTATGAGAGATAAGGTCTATATAGTACCACCCGGCTGTCCAAAAGGGCAAAGATCGTTCGCATAAATAATGCCCGGTCTTCAGACCCATCGGCCGATTTAGCATCCTTTTTTCAACGCGCACAGTGGGCCGCAAATGATTCGCTTGGCATAAACAGCGCTCAATGCAATTTATCGCATGTTTGCGGACCGGAAAGCGCAGATAAATCTCATACATATGTCCGCCTCTATATATGATATGTGTGCCAAACAACATTATATTCATATTCATTTAAGCAAGCGCATTTTCAACTTATCAAAAGCGCCCACACAGCGAAAAAATACGAATTAAATAAGAAACTGCCATAAAATTCTTTTCGCAATTGTATTGCAAGTACAGTAAAGCCCAGCTTTGAACAAAATATGTCGGCAGTATTTAGAAACTTTAACAACTTTAAAGTCAAATATCCTAATGCCATGATCAAAGAATGTACAAACAAACCAGGTTACACTGTACAGTGTATAAAACTATACCATAAGTGCCTGGTGCCACACCCACTTGTCCATATATCATCCTACAGTGGAAAAATTTACAAATACTGATTGTGATTCTAGCAATTCCTTGTTCTTCATTCCTTTATAGATATACTTATTAGCATATATATAATAAATATATATGTATATGTGTGTGCATGTGTAAGTATTTGAGCTTGAGTATGTCTTATCATCATTTGGCTTCACACTCGACGCTTATCAATCTCAACAAGTGTGTGTGTGTGTGTTCATTTATGTATGTATATATGGATGTATATCACGCATACACCGGCTGCTACTGTTCCCAGATTTGGCTATAAAAAGATTCATAGCCGGCGACATAAACTTCAGTTCGCGCCAACTGTTTGTACGCGTTGTGTCCTATTGGTCTAGCCGTTGATTAACCGTAAAATTCAAATTAAAGAACACATTCTAAAGGTATGTACGATGAGTGAAAGAGAAGAAACTCAAGTCCTGCCAAATACACCAATGGAGAAAGTTGTGATTTTTTTTAATTGTTGTATAAATTTTAAAGTTGATATTGGTATATTGAAAATAGTTTTCGAAGGAAAAAGTGTTTCAAATGTGCTGTGTCACTGGCAGCCAATATTAAAATTAATCACGTATCAACATTTTTATTTTGTTTGATTGCTTTTGATTAAAATCAGATTGCAATTTCACAAATATGCCCATTAGGAAAAGCGTTGTCTAATCGCTTTTAAATACAATCTATAAGTGTGTTTAACCAGTTCTCAAGCCCCCTTTTTTTGTAAGGTGACTTTCAATTTACGAGTCTTTACACCTCACTGAATAAGCTTTACCCTTCAACTGCTTGTACATATACTTTTTATTACTATTCAATAGCCAATTAAATGTGCTAAAATGCCAACCACAAGTGATTAATAGAACATATTTTAAAAATAATTTGCTAACAAATCAACAAGTTATGCTCCACTGTGATTGTCTGTGTACGCATTGGTGGCATTATCCTTGAGTCGCCATCTTTAAATCGTTTCTTAGTTATGATCGATACCATTCATACGTTTGCATGCTCTCCTTTTCTGGTGCGTACACTCATCGTGTATGTATGTGTGCGAAGAGTTTTGCTGTGATTACCGTAAACGGATCACGATTTTGGGCAGACAAGTTCAATAACAGCAGCAACAGCAACAACAACAACAACAACAACAGCACAATGGATGGCAATTAATTGCAAGCAGCAGCAGCATTAATAACAACAAACGCAGCTGACGAAGTTGAAAATCTCGGCCTGCGACCCGACCAGGTGAAGGGCATGGCGTCACAGCAGCTGTGAAGAAATAAAAATCAACAAACTCAAACTGGAATTAATACTTGCGCCTGTTGTTGTTGTTGCTTGCTGTTTGTGTCTTGGCTAATAAAAACACTTGTAGCTGCCGGCAGCTGCTTCAGTGAACAGTTACAACTGCCAGCATTAAGCAGCAAAATTCAAACATGCAGTCAAAATTAACCCCATTAGTCACATTTACTTTTTTAGTCACACTGTGCATTCCAACGGTAATTTGAATGTTCTCAGCTGTGTCGCAATATTTACCGTTGATTCTGACATTTTATTTCGCAGATGTCTTACAAAGTGGAGCCACTACCCGATTCGTATGCCGGTCTAGGCGAGGGACCCCACTGGGATGTGGCCAGACAGAGTCTGTACTACGTGGACTTGGAGGCAGGCAGCCTTTTGCGCTATGATTACAAACAGAATAAGACCTATAGAACTCAAATTGAGGGCGAGACTTTGGCTGGTTTTGTGCTTCCCGTCGAGGGCAATGCCCAGGAGTTTGCCGTCGGCTGTGGCCGCCGTGTCGTTATTGTCAACTGGGACGGTATCTCGCCGGTGGCCAAGGTAGTGCGCACTCTGTTTGAGGTGCAGCCAGATTTTGAGGCGAATCGCTTGAACGATGCCAAAACCGATCCACGTGGTCGCCTCTTCGCCGGCACCATGCGCTACATTGGTGACGAGTTCACGCACCGCCATGGCGAATTGTACCGATGGGAGGCGGGCGGCAACGTCACGCTGGTGAAGAGCGATGTCGGCATCTCCAATGGGCTGGCCTGGGATGAGAAGGCCAAAAAGTTCTACTACATTGATACCACCGATTACGAGGTCAAGTCGTACGACTATAATTTTGACACTGGAGTCGCCAGCAATCCCAAGGTTATCTACAATTTGCGTAAGACCAGCCCCAAGGATCATCTCTTGCCCGATGGCATGACAATCGATACTGAGGGCAACATCTATGTGGCCACATTCAATGGCGCCACCATCTACAAAGTCAACCCCAGGTAAGTTAAACCTGCTGTTCCACTTATCCCAATCATACGCATTCAATTGCATTGCCGTTACAGCACGGGCAAGGTCCTGCTGGAGATTAATCTGCCCACCAAGCAGATAACGTCGGTCGCCTTCGGTGGGCCCAATCTGGACATTCTTTATGTGACCACCGCTGCCAAGTTCGATCAACCCACTCCGGCTGGCACCACCTACAAGGTGACAGGTCTCAATGCCAAGGGCTATCCAGGAGTCAGCCTGAAGATCTAATAACATATTCATATAATTATTCTCTTTTTTTTGTATGAAACCTACTCAATTATTACTGAATTATACTCTTTTTTAAAATATCGAGTGCAATTATATACATTTGTATAAAGATGAGCATGTGCATGTGTGTGTGCCATCTACATTATTGATATAGAAAACCAAGTGTTTAACTTAACTTCAGAATATGACATTGGCGGGTTAACCCAGCCGATTTATCAGTCCTTGACTTGGCATTGCTATAGAAAAACGATTGCTTTATAACCTTGCGTCAATTGACGGTCAGAACAAAAACAGCTAGATGAGCATTAAGGTAACCATCATTAGATTATCTTCAAGTTTATAGACATTTGACGTTTATTACAGAATTATATGGTGAGTTTGTATAAAAAGTGTTTATGCTATGAATGTAGGCTTACAAATAAAAGTTACTCTAAGCATTTAATTGGTAGTGTGTTGCTATTCTCTATTCATCCTCCGACTCGGATTCAGAGCACGTTTCCTCATCCTCATCGCTGGCATTGGAACGGTTGAGACGCAACATCTCTTGGAATTCGTGCACGCGTATTTTTTCGGGAACAATTTGTAAAAGGAACTCGAGATTTTTGCTCTTGTTAACCAGCTGCGATAAGTGTTCGTATTTGAGTGTGTCACTATTTTGTTTGGCACACGAAGTCGTGTATGCCTCACGGGCCAGGTGCTGCACAAATAGCTCGGTGCACTTGGTCATAAGAAATAGCACTTCGTTGGTTATTAGGCCAGTGTCCATTGAGCTCTTCATTATGGTCCGTACCCGGCTAAGGGGCAGAAATGTATCTGCGCTTGCCTTGTGCTGTAGCTGGGTATTGTCTGAATCAACCATTTTATATATATATATAAACAAATTGTTACTTGTTTTAACAGATCACAACTTTTTTGGCGCTAAACGCAAGGAACCCGGCTTTTTGTTTATTACAACTGAAACTATCGACATCAGTCGCTATCGAGTTTGGCTGCTATCGATAGGTGAATTTTGCAGAATGTAGTACAACTCTGTTTGTATAAGCAACACTGCGATTTCTTTTCTGCCTCCTTTTTGGCTGTTGTTTCGTGTGTTGACCAATAAATTTTTTCGTACGCAGCATATTTTTATTGTTACTTCTCAATTATAAAACCACGATATACGTATTTAAAGTGCATAAATCGCTTGCGCTGCTGGCAGAGCATATTATTTTAGGCAACGCACGCAATACCATTGCGTACAACTAGCTCAAAACACGTAGTCGAAGAAACAAAACCGATAAAAAAAAAACAGGCAAAGGCAACTCCGACCGACACCGAAACGTGAATGTGAAAGCGAAGCGATTCCGCGGCAAGGAAGTGCAACACAACCGCAACCACAACGTTACAACAAAGCTGAACACAGGCAGTGGAGCAAAACATATGTTTGTTATAAACAAAAAGAATTAGGCGCACTTAGATATATTTGAAATACCCTCGCCTGTTGTGTAAACAATTGCTAGCAGCGGCTACAATAAGGCTTGTCTCTTAGCAAGGCAACAACAACAAAAGCATTGAGAGCATACATTTACATCCTGCGTTTTAAATACACCACTCCGATCCATATAGTATACAAATATATATAAATACATATATATATATATATTTATATACACATCTATCGTCTGTTGTCAATATCATATCGGAAGTTGTTCGAGTTGCAGCGACAGCGACAATTAAAAATGGCCGCTGCCACAGCCGACGTTGGAAATGCAGTGAACGATTGCTTCAGTATCGGTTCCACAGTGATCTGTACGACCTGCTTCAAGGAGGAAGTCGAGGGGGAGGTTCTCGCGTTCGATCATAACACAAAAATGCTTATATTGCGTATCCTTTTTTAAAACAAATATTCCCTCTTGATGTGTAAAAGTGAAAGTTTTTAAATTTTTTTATTTTTATTTTTTTTTATATAATATATATATATATATATATATATATATACATATATATATATACACTTAAATTTGCATATATAAAATGTATTAAGCGAATATTCTAGTTGGTCACCTTACATCGCCACCCTGCTTCCTTCCCTTCTTTCTCCCATTTGTTCGAACAGAATGCCACTCGAAAGCTTCAGGTGAACTGAGTGATGTTTATGTGATGAACTTATCGTTGTGCAGTAACGTGCAGGTAATTAAGGAATGCAATGGAAACTTCATCGATGACCCTCAAAAGCTGAACCTTGAACAGGTATGCATAAAGTCCATATTAGTTGAATTTGGTATTCATTTTCAACTGATTTTTTTCAGGTTAAAATGCGCCTTCGTAAAACAGTAGAAAGACGGCAAGATTATCTCAAGTCCAAAAATGCGGATGTTACAGCAGAAGCACAAGAGCTCTATCGAGCGATAGCCAAACAACTTGGGGTGAGTGGGCTATACATATAGCTTATATAGCAAAGCATCTGTCTAAAATTTATACTATTCCATTTTGATATCTTATGGTAGTACAATGAAGTTTCGTGGCAAGGACCAAACATACAAATTTTAAACGAAGTTACCGTATCGCCGCCATATAGGGTGGACAATGTTGTATCCAGTTCGGACAACGACAAGTCGTGCACATACATTAAACGAATTGTAAGACCACCAAAAAAATGTGATTTTGGCTTTTAAAATATTGTCATGAATTTCAGATAAATCAGTTCTTCACCACGAGACCTTCGGCGGTTCAGGAAAATGCACATGGTGCCAGCTCTTCGTCGGCATCTGTTTCGCCCACTTCCTCATCCTTATCATCGAGTAACGCAGCTTCAGGATCACCGGTTCCCGCTAACTAAAAATAAAAAAGAAAAAAAAAACATATTTGCTTCAAAAATGGATGAAAAATTGCATTGTAATTGGTTTGGGGGTTGCGTAACGCTTAACGCTAGCATATTGGTCTTAAGGCCTGTTTTGTTTTTATTTCAATAAGAAAAAAATTTAAATTTAGCAAACAGGAGTTAACAAAACGAAATGTTCGATGACAACTATACCGATATCTAATCGATTGGTTACAATTTACATGCCAATGATCAGTACGTTAGTGTGACGTAACAAATTGCAGAATTTATAAAATCAACAAAAAATAGTTATAAAATAGGGAGTATATATATTCACGAAAAAGCGAAGCCCATAAGACACATGAAAATGATCACTTAATGGGGAAAAATACTAACATTGCTATGCGGCAATCGATAACAATTGTTTTTTGTTTGAATGGCAAATACTATCGTCGCATCAGTGTGAATTGCAAATAATTCGTTTATGTTTGTGTTTCGTTTAAATAAACAGACAGAAACATGGAAGATGTACAAAAGCACAGCGTGCATACGCTTATATTTAGATCTCTTAAACGCACACATGATGTGTTTGTATCAAATCAGGGCAACTTGCCGGATATTGACGAGCGTTTGTAAGTAGAATTGGTCACAAAATTGACACACGCGTCAATAATTATTCGCAAATTTTTTTCTTGCAGCGTGATGCGGAGTCGTTCGATTAAAGCAAGGGATACGTATGGATTGGTTATTGACCGCGCCATCAAATCGATGGACGATAAAAAGATGTCCGCAATACAAAACGGCAGTATTGACAAACCACTGGCCATCACAGATGGCAGCACCGGTCTGGCTGCAGCCGGATCGGATTTAAGTGCAACCGGCGCAGACGGCGGGAGCATGGTTAGGTATAATCGCGACAAGGACAAAACACCTTTAATTGGGAGCACCTCGTTGGTGCGTGCCTCAATGCCGAGCAGCAGCGGCAGTGGAGCTAGCAATGTGCAGCTAATACCAAAGAAAGCACCCAGCATACCTAAGCCCAAGTGGCATGCACCATGGAAACTGTCGCGCGTAATCTCTGGGCACTTGGGCTGGGTGCGTTGCATAGCTGTTGAGCCGGGCAACGAGTGGTTTGCTACCGGCGCCGGTGATCGTGTCATCAAGATTTGGGACCTGGCCAGCGGTAAACTGAAGCTCTCCCTTACCGGCCATGTGAGCACCGTGCGCGGTGTAGCAGTCAGCGCAAAGCATCCGTATCTATTCAGCTGTGGTGAGGATCGTCAGGTCAAGTGTTGGGATCTGGAGTACAACAAAGTTATCAGACACTATCATGGCCATCTGTCTGCAGTCTATTCATTGGCTCTGCATCCCACCATTGATGTACTCGCCACATCTGGGCGTGACTCAACAGCACGCATCTGGGATATGCGCACCAAGGCAAATGTGCACACATTGACGGGCCACACGAACACTGTGGCCAGCGTTGTGGCCCAAGCTACCAATCCTCAGATCATAACCGGCTCACATGATTCCACCGTCCGCCTGTGGGATCTGGCTGCCGGCAAGAGCGTCTGTACGCTGACCAACCATAAGAAGTCCGTGCGCAGCATTGTTCTCCATCCATCGCTCTACATGTTCGCCTCCGCCTCGCCGGATAATATCAAACAGTGGCGCTGTCCCGAGGGCAACTTTGTGCAGAACATATCGGGACATACGGCCATTGTGAATTGCATGGCGGCCAATTCGGATGGTGTGCTAGTCTCTGGCGGCGACAATGGCACCATGTTCTTCTGGGACTGGCGTACCGGCTACAATTTCCAGCGCTTCCAAGCGCCCGTCCAGCCTGGCTCCATGGACAGCGAGGCGGGCATATTCGCCCTATGCTTCGATCAATCGGGCACACGTCTCATCACCGCCGAGGCGGACAAGACCATCAAGGTGTACAAGGAGGATGACGAGGCCACCGAGGAAACGCATCCGATCAACTGGCGGCCAGAGCTGCTCAAACGTCGTAAATTCTAAGAGATCTAGCATCTAGTTCATGAATCAAGTAAAATAAATACAGTACGGCTACACTCACGTGCAGCTACTACGTAATTTTGTCTAAATTTCATGGAGCGTGTGCTCCATGTGTTTTGCTCTTTATGTAGAATGATGGGAATAGCAGCTCTGCGAAGGGGTCTGAGCATTTCCTAGTCGGACACTCCCGACTAGCTCACTTTAGTGCTTTGCGCAGGGAAAGAAAGTAACAGTAAAAGTATGACCAGTTCATCTTGTCCCCACGACATATATTTATGCATCGGACTTTGATTTTTTTTAAATTTGACAGCTTCCTCGGATGTACTTGAATAACAAAATCATTACCTTAAATAGTTGGTATTTTATTTGTTTTTTTTTCACGTTTGTTTTTAACTTTTTTTTTACACATAAATAATTTTAATTATCTTCTGCATAAATAATAATAGCGTATATCTTTAAATATATATATATATTTATGCAATTCTTTATATATATATAATTTTCTTTTTTGTTTTTGTATTTTGTATGATGTTAAAATATTTCCTGTTTCTTTAAATTTCTCTTGTTTTGTTTTTGTTTTATATTTTTGCTATCGTTAACAAAGTAAAAGCACTAACTGTTAATTTAAATTGTTTCTTTATTTTTGTTTTGTATTATAGTATTTTATGATTAATATTATTATAGGTAGGGCTCTCTAGTCATCATCTGCATAAACGTTATCATTAGCATTATCTTTATCATTTCATGTATTAAAATCACAAATAATTGTTGTTTGAAACAAATCTTTTGTTTTTTTTTTTTTTTTTTTTTTGATTTTTATCAACATCTTTTGTTTTTCGTTTGTTTTTTTTTCTCTTCACTTCTCATCTTTCATTAACGTTCGCTGTGTTCGTTATATGGTAGGTAATAGTTTATATGCATCAATTATCATTACATATATGTATGCATATATATATATATATATATATATATATATATATATATATATATATATATATATATCTTTCATAACTCCTCGCTACACAATAACACACTCTTTTTCTCGCTCGCTCTCTCTCTCTGTCTCTTTCTACATGATGCCACAACAGCAAAGTCCCTGCTTTAACTTTCTAATGGCGGCAAGGGACATTAATTAAATATATATATATATTGCGTGTGTGTGTGTCTGTGTGTGTATGAGTGTCTGTCTGCCTGTGTGTGTGTAAGTGTCTCCCCGGCTTGAGGGCATAACTGCAACGGTTATTTACAGTAATGCCAAAAATCTTTTAAGGATTTTGGCGCTTTTTTCTCTTTATATTTATATATTTTAAATAACTGTAATATTAAAAAAAAAAAAACAAAAAAAGATATATATTTCAACGCACACATACAACTGCCTATACATAAATGGAATTTAAATTCCACTTTAATCATGCATAGCCAAAGCTTAAATGAATATATGCATGCGTGTGTGTGTGTGTGTGCTTATATATGTATGCCTTTGTGTGTGTAGAACATTGACATCGGACTTGAACATGTTCCACTCCGGGGAGTCCGTTGACAGTTCGATTACAAATTGTTGAGGCGCTGGAAAAGGGCAGGTGGCGGGAGGTTGGATTGGCTTGGTCAGCTGGAAGAGTTGACTGGCACACAGCGAATATACATATATTCTGTATAATTATATATAGTAAGCAAATACGTCTATATATATATATAAGCATATCTAATTGTTCAGACAGGCAAACGCTGAACGTGAAACAAACTCAATTATATTAACTGACTTAGATCAGATGTTGATAACGAACTGTCGTAACTTCTCTGCTGCATAAATATATATGTATATAGAGCTTTCGCTACAAATGCCAATATCGGATCGTGAAAATGGCGCTTCTTGGGCTGATGCTGTGGAAGCTATTGTTGTTGTTGTTGTTGTTGCTGCTGCTGTTTCTATAGTTGTTTAAGAGTTATGGAAGCATTCGGCTTTGACACCAGCGACCAAACTAATTTAGATGGAACACGAGACAAACACACATACACTTAGGCAAAGACACGCACACGTACACTTAGGCAAAGACACACACACACACACACACACACACACACACACACACACTAGTACACGAACATACGCTGAAGTTGTTGTTGTAGTAGTTGTTGTTATTATTATTGTTGTTTGTTTTTGTTTGTTTTGTTTTTTTTTTCTTTCTTTTGTTTTGTTATTGTGGTTGGTTGTTGTTTGATAATTTAGTTGTAGATTTTGATTGCCTTCTCGGAGAAATTGAGTGAGCTGCGCTTGCGCGATTTGTTGATGTGATCCAGTCCAAAGAACGGCAACTGAGTGCCAGTCCATGTACGATAGGCCTCCAGATCAATTGTTGTATTATCGTTCACATCGATAGTGTGACCCATTGTGATAACAGCGAACTTATAGTTCTCCCACTCCTTGTCCGGCACATTGAGTCGCTTCTGGATGCGCTGCTTGAGCGCACCGTATGGCTCGCCATGTCGCGCCTTTGTTAAAAATGGCACCCCAAACGAATTGTACAATTCTTTGCTATAGTGCGCCACCGGTATGAGCAGCTCGTTCTCGGCCAGCTGCGACTCCTCAGCTGGTATTTCCTCGATGCGGTATATTTTCTGTGTGCCCTGCGTTGTTGTTATTGACTCGTTGGTCTTCATCAGCGTCTCCAGCGGTATATCATCCTTGCAGATGCTGACAATCTTGTGATTGCCCACTTTCATCAGGCGCAGCTTCTTGCGGCTATTCTCGGCAAATGTAATTGTCTTGGCCGCCTCGTCGAGCAGTCCCTTCACCGTATCATTCTTATTCGGATACAGCACCAGCTCCTTCTCCTCCTTCAGGTCATTGGAAACCCAAATGCACTTGAACAGCTTCTTGTTATCCAGCTCGTGTATGCTCAGGGAAAGTCTCTGATAGAAAATTCTCTTCGGCGTGCTCTGCTTTGTATACGACAATAGATCCTTGATGGTACCCTGCAAATATACAAATTCGTCGTCAATTATATTATAATAATTGTAAATTGGAAATTATAGCTCGAGATCAGTTCGACTCCTGACTGCCGAAGCAAATCAACTGACAATGACAAAAGCTCTGCCGACATCATTTGAACATTTCAGTTTAGAAATAGGTGAATAAAAAGGCAACAGGACTGTCGTCCTGGCACACAGAGACTTGACTGAATGTTCAGACAAAGTGTACAGATCAAGTCAATATCGCGCTAACTAAGACGCACCTTGTAGGTGTAGGGCACAGCATTGCCGGCGGTTTCCTTGTAGTTGTTGTTGCACATGAAGAACTGCAGCTTCTGTGGATCCGTGTTGAGACGTTCGGCGACGGCATTGGTCAATTGATCGTAGTTGTAACGATTCGATAGTTCGAGCGTAAAGTCCGGCTCGTTGGGATTACACTTGTCGCTGAAAATGATTTCGATGCGATAGACCAGATCCAAAAAGTAGTCCTCAACGGTGGGCAAATCCAATTTAACATCAACATTCTCTCGCTCAAATATCAAAATGGGCCCCTGCAAATGATCCTGCGGCATATAGAGCACATTCTCGATGGGCTCATTTATATTGGCTATCTTCTTATCGGCATACTCATCGAATACGGTCAGCTCAGTGTCCAGTTCGAAGCCGAGCTTGCGATTGATCTCTGGCACCAGTTCGCTGAGCCGACGACTTAGCGGCTGTTGTGTGCAGCCAATGTAATTGAGGCGCTTGTTGCGCGCATCATAATACTTGAGGAATAGTAGCACATCCGTCTTGGGATTGAACGGCAGCAATGGTACGCTGCTGTCGGGCGGTGCCAGCTCAAGGAATATGACCCAGGGCTTCTGCGATGTGGGTATCTGTTCGATGGTGCGTGTAGCTTCCGCCTCGAAATCAAAGTGCAGGAACTTTTGTGTTTGGGCTGTGCACATGTTCCACATGCGCATGCGATCGCGCGGCACGCCGAATGCCTTCACCAGCATCTCGACCATTTCATTGACGGTTTGGTTTTGCTTTAGCTTAAAGGGTCGCTGGTGAGTCTTCTCCAGATCAAATAGCCGTCGCTTTTGCTGAGACTCAAAGTATTCCTCGAGTATAACGTGAATCGGCACGTAGAGATTGGCCTCACTGCGCTCCTTGCGTCGTGCCATTTCAATGCGTTTCTCCAAATCGAGTCGTTCCACTAGATCGCTCGATATCTCATTCTCGGGTATATCGCCCAGGACGCGATCCAGCTCCGATTGACGTATATAGACCAGCATGTACGCATTGCTGCATTTGGCATGAAACGAGATCTCATCATCCATGCCGCCATAGTTCTGATCGATGGCCTCCTGCTTGCGGCAACTGGAAACCACATCGTCATCAAACTTAAACCATCGTCCGTCGGCCTTTGGATTGATAAAGACCACATAATGCCCGCCATGATTGTCGCCGGAATGGACCAACACAGCGTGCAGCACATAATCGGCTGGCGTTTTCTCACGGTCCGCCAGATATCGATCCAAATTGATTTGCTCATAGAATTCGAAACGATCATTGTACTTGATCGAACTATCAGTAATTGGATCGTATTGGAAACGCATCAAATGCAAATGCAGCACCGGCGGGAATGATGTGAATATGACGCCCTTGCTTGCCTCCTGCATCAAACAAAGAAAAAGAAAGCAGATAAATATTTATAAAAAAAAAAAAACTATGTTTATATTGCATCTAGGTTTATGATACGATAACAATACTGCCTCAGAGCACAGTTCGAATTTGATTCTGATTTGGAAATATAATAGTTTTACATTTTAGTCTGATATCAACAATTTAGCTCATCTGTGTGGCCTTATTTCATGTGGACGGTAAATGATAATATACGATCCACACAGTGCATTGCCACGTTGTGGAACTTAACGAAGCATAATTTAATATTAAAAATAAATTGAGTCTATTAGCAATTGACATCCAGGATTAACTGGAGCTGTTATCAGAATGAGTCTTGGCTAATTATTCACTCGCTGCGAATTTCATCAATCGATGCAATTCCCAAGTCTTTTTTGAACACTACGATCCACAGAGCATATACAAACACCACGTTCCACACAGTAGCTGTATGACAGCTGATGTGGATGGCAAGAGACTGTTTGTGGATTTCATATTACATATTTGTTTGTGTACAACAAGAGCTGAACTGAGGAGAGTGCCATCGTAGCAGCCAATCGGGTGCACAAATTGCACTTACCTGGAGACCATGGACCCCGGCATCGTATTTGTTGTCACCCTCGAGTGTCTCGGAGGCGACATAGTCCTGAAATGAGTCGAAGATGTTCTTCTTGTCTTTGATATTTAGCTGAATATCGTAGAAGGTCTCGTAGCGTGTGCTATTGTAATCGACATTTGTGCATTTAATGTACGATGACATTTTGCCCTCGAATAAACCGGGTATGGTGCCCTCCAGGCAGGTGCCCTTCATTTTCGACTCGAGCTTGTCGAGCAGAACACGCAGAAATTCTTGTACATCGTGCTGCATGAACGAATCGAGTGTCTCCCAGCCAAAGGATTTGGTTAGCTTCTTGGTGCCGACCGGGCGATCGCCGAACTGCAATTCGTGGAAGACTCGCTGCAGCGATAAGCCCACCGATTTGGTGCTATCGTCGGCCTCGGTTGGTATACGGTAAACGGCCAAGCGTAGGGAATTTGTGAAATATAGCGTCTGGAGCAGCGAATTCATATAGCAAGTGGCGCCCTGGTTCTTCAGGCCCACATAGCCCGTATGCTTCTTGGAGTCCCATAGGACGCCGTGCGGGGCATCGGCAATGACATGGACCTCAAGCGTAATGCTGCCATTATGCACATAATATTTATCTGGATCCTGCAGCTCCTGCCAGGTGATGAAATTTGAATAGCCATAGTCGTTCTCCTTTGAATAGAATAAATGCTTAATACGAGCGCGCGTAAACGGCGGCGCATCCGGCTTGTGGCACTTCAGCCGCAGCTCGGCAATCGCATTGCACGACCAGGTCGGCGAATCGTTCTCCCCGTTGCATTGCAGAAAGAAGCCAAGAGCACGATCGTTCGGTATGACCATTATCTTCCATGGCAGCATACGCACATAGACGGGCTGCGATAGATGCTGTTGCTTAATCTGTCCCACATTCTCCACAGTATAGGAGAATGTTGTCTCCGAACGGAATTGATCCTCTTTAGTTTCGTCGTCCATTGGCATCTCTTGTTCGTTGCCGAACGATGTGGAGCTGCTCTCCGCTAGTAATTGCTGTGGCGGCACGTTGCCGTTCTCACTGGGTAGCTGCGGCTGCTGCTGTTGTTGTTGTTGCTGCTGCTGCTGTTGCTGCTGCTGCTGCTGTGGATGTATCAGATTTTTAAACTTTGGCAATTGTGGCGGCGAGTTTGTCTGCTGTTGCTGCTGTTGTTGCTGTTGCTGCTGTTGTTGCTGTTGCTGTTGTAGGTCGCTTGTGATTATCTCGACCTCTTGGGTATCCTGGGTATCCATTGCTTCGATAGACTGATCTGTTTCAATGTCCATCTTATTCGGCACTTGAATTTTGCTGTTATTCGGCTACTGCAAACGCCGCCGCTGCTGCTGCTGCCGTTTCTGCTGTTGCCGCCGTTCTCGCTATTTTGTCCTTCTTCAAGTGCTTTTCAATAATTATGGTTATTGGTAGTGGATAGATTGATTTATTTTTGACAGATTCTTTTTTCTATATTTTCTTTTTCCGTTTTTTTCCTTCTTAGTTATCGTGTTGACATTCGATTTCGATTTCGATTGCGTTGCGCTTAATGTTGGTTGCAGCAGCCGCCTGAGTTATCTGAAAATTCAATGGAAAATGGGTAACAGGAGAAGGAGAAACATCGATAAATAAACATACTGACACATACGCATGCACATATGTATGCACACACCTACACATGCCCACATATAAAAATATATATATTTATGTATATATATATATATGTCTGTGTCAGTGTGTGTGCATGCATATATGTATGTAAAACTGTTGGTCACAAGCTTGCAAATTTTTTTTTATATTTGTCATTTTGTCAATGCATTTATGCATTTGCACATACTTATGTGTTTTATATCTCTTCTTTTTGCACCTATGCTTCTTTTATGCAATTAAATACATATATATACGAATGTGTAGAATTTGCTCACGCCAAAATGAAGTGCGCCGCATCGCTTTTGTCCCAACACACACACACACATACGCGCAAGCAAACACTCACACATTCGCACGCACGCACGCATCAAACCCACCGCTGTACACATTTACCCCCATGCTTGTCGACGGACGGGCGGGCGGTCAGTCGTGCAGGCAGGCATCAAATCAACTTAGCTTCCACACACAAATGCAATGTATATTTTTTTTCTTACTTGCCTTTAAAGATGTCAGAAAGTATATGGTGTATATTTTGGCTTTGGCCGCAGGCTGGTTGATGGCAGGCAGCTGTAGGCTCGAACTCGAACGCAAGCGCCAACCGTCAAGAAAAAACTTGCAAATTTTCTTCGTATTTTTCTTTCCAACCTACACTTCAATTTATGGCGTTCTCTTCATCGGCAGTGTGTGTTGCACGACGCTCTTTTTTTTTTTTTTGATAGCAAAAAAAAGTCGAAAACATAAATTTTGTCAAAACTGTTTAATTTATATGAACAACACTTGTGACGTATTTTGCTCGGCACTGCATTTGCGTTTCCGATTCATTAAAGGAAAGGTGCAAAATTTTAACTTTTATCTAGCAAGCAAATGTTAATGCTCTACTCGAACGGGCACTGCAAACTCAAAAGGAAAATATTTTGACGCTGTTATGTCAAAACTAGCTGCCAGCTGCAAGATTATCGATAAATATCACGACAATACACCGATAGTTCTATATTGCGTGTACGCAGCCGATAAATTTATATTATCCTCTTTGCATTTCAAAAGCGATAAATAACTAATTTAAATTTATATGTATTTCCAATTGGCATATGTGATGCTTAGTTAAAAAATAAAACATTTTAACATACTTTACATATAGTTCATAAATTTCATTTAAATTGAATTGTTAAATTCGTTTTGATTTTTACTTATTGAATGCGTATTCAAATTAGTAGTTTTAAAGTCTCCAATTGGGTTATACACATATAATTCCAATTAGTAAATGAGTTCACCGAGAGAATCACAGCTTTTGCTATTAAAATAAATACAATAGTTAATGTGATAAAATAAATAGTTTGTATAATTTATAAAAATCAACTTAAGAATCGGTCATCTTTTACTTGAGGTACATTTGCTAATAGATTCCATAATATACACGATTATATACAATACACATAAAAAAGTGATGAATATTTGGCTACACTTTAGTCCTGCTGCGGCTGTGGCTGTTGTTGTTGTCGCCCATGGAGCCGGTCACAGCGCAAACAAATGCCACCTGAGCTATACTTCCAGCAGTTGGCATGAACGCATGCACCACACTGGCCACAACGATGCACCTTACGCTGCCAGGGATAGATGAGCTGGCGACTCTTGCATAGCTCGCAGACAAAGGCGCGACCCGTGCAGAGCTAAAAGACAAAAGAGTGGGCGGAGTTAAGCAGGTGAACGAAGCTGATGCAATGCAAGTTTACCACACAGCTGAAGACATGCTGCTCGTTGAGCTCTATCAAATCCTCGATGGAGCGACACAGGCTTTTGTTTTGCACATCGACAAAGTCGCACATGGACCACATATCCGGATCGTTGGTTATGTGCGCCGGCACAGCATCGAACAGCGCCTGCTCCCTGCACATTGAATACCAATTAGAAAGAGATAAAAGCTGAGTGCTTGGCCCACTTACTTGCTGGCAAAGCGACAGGCGGATATGAAGTTGTGGACATATTTGAGCTGCTGGCGACGTCGTCGCGCCCTGGCCAAAAGCGTCTGCTTCACATACAGCTGAGCATTCAGGTCGGGCACATGGAACAGCGGGAATGTGTACATCTGCTCGATGAGGCGATAGGCAAACGAGCTAACCGCATAGCAACGAAAGTCCCACGACTGCAGTATCTTGGCCGGAATGGCCGACAACTGATTGCGATGGCAGCCGGTGCACAGGTATTTGCCCAAATAGTTGCAATAGCGGAAATATTGTTGATACTGTCGTGTCACCTGCATGCCACAGCCGGCGCAGCGATAATTCTGTCGGCTCAGCAGCTGCGACCGACTCGCCGCTGGGTGTTCCGTGAAGATGATTTGTTGGCGCGGCGGCGCCCAGGTTTTGGTGCCGCGCGTCAGACTTGTCTCGCCCATGAGCTCCTGCTGGCGCTGTTGTTGTTGCTCCTCTGTTAGCTTTGGCATTGGCAGCAGCTGCTGCGGCGCATCCTGCTCCGAGACGAGCCACTTCAAGTCTGCCAGCTTCGGCAGCTGCTTGTCATTGAAGCGTGAGATCAACTGCAGACCAACTGCCTCAGCGCTGTTGTTGTTGTTGTTGTTGTTGTTATTGATGTTGCTCTGGCTATCGCCATTCGTGCCGTGCTGCTCCACATAGGGCATCAGCAAGGCATCCGCTTCGGTGGCAATGCCGCTGCTGCTGCTGCCGCTGGCACACGTCATCGGCTGGCCGCGTCGACTCCATTTCACATGCTCGATGGCCGCAATGCACGCCTCCGAGATGCGAAAGTGTGCATTCTCCTTTTCCAGCTCGGTGTTGTTGTGCGCATTGCGTGACATTTGCAGGAAGGCGGCCAAGCTTTGATTGTCCATTTTGTTGCTGCTGCTGCACTGGCTCTCGCTGCTCAGGCTGCAGGATGTGGTGGTGCTGCAGCTGGCGCTGTGCTGCTGCTGCTGACCTGGCTGACCGCCAACAATGTCCAGTGGCTCAGTGGTTGTCGCCGCCGTGTTCGCTGCTTGGCAATTGTTGTAGTCGAGCATGCTGACGCCCTCGAACAGCGATTGACGCTGGCGCATGTCCAGCTTGCGTCCGTTGATGGCCAAGAAGCCATTCAGCACGCAGCCCGCCTCGTCGCTCGTGGCGCCGCGACTCTTGTTATACCAGCTGGTGTAGACGGGCGGCGAGCCAAACAGATTGCCCAGAAAGCTATTCAGGGGACTGCCGCGCTTCGGGGCGGGCACAGGCGCGGGTGGTGATGGATTGCTAGTGGTTTGACTGGCGCTGCTCGTCTGATCCGTCCAGATCTTGATGTCATCGCAGTTGATTAGCTGTATGCGACGCGGCACTGGCGACGCCACCTGACTGCAACTGCTGCTGGCCGTGCTTATGCTACAGCCGCTCAATGGAACGTTTGGGCTATTGTTGTAGGTCTGGCAGCGAGGACGCGCTGCAGCCAGGGGCAGCCCAGTCAGTGTGCTCGCCAATCGATCCAAGCTGCTATCGCTCTGATACAGGCAGGGCAAGCTCTTGAAGCGACGCAATAGCTGCGTGGATGCCGGAATTGGGTGCAACTGTTGTTGCTGGCGCTGTTGCTGCTGCTGCGCCTGGTGCTGCTGCTGCTGCTGCTGTTGCAGCTGCAGTTGCTCCTCCTCCTGCACCACATGCAAACGGTGCGTCAAAGTGAAATTGGGCTGCGAGCTGGTGCGTCGATGACGTCGTTTGCCAACAACCGGCTCCAGCTGGCTGAGCAAGCTGCTCTGATCCAGCTCAACGGCCGTCAGACACACAAACAGCGCAGCCGCACAGCCGCTGTGCCGCAGAAAGGCCACCTCCCGCTGATAGTAGCAGTCCAACAGCTCCTTGTCTGCCACCAGCGCCTGCACACAGCGCGACAAGCAGCGCGAGCGCAGGCAGCTGGCCACCCAATGCGACAGAAACTCTGACACATTAAATGCAGCATTCGTAGTTGATCCTGGAGCAGGCGTGCCGGCAGCTGAAGCTGCTGGCGGCTGCTGTCGATGCTCTGCGAGGCGCAGGAACTCAAAATCTTCAACTAGGCGCTGCAAATGAGAAACAAGAGAAATTCCGCTTAGCGAGGGTGGCTCGAAAAGTGTTCAATGTCACATAATGTATACAGAAGAGATTCGGGCTAAATTTGATGTGTGTTAGTGCTAGGGGGAGACGTGACGGAACACATAAAGTATATATGTTTGATGAGAACGACGAGCTGAATCGCATTACATGAAGAAAATGCAGTTATTCAATATTGAAACTCAAACGCAGTGCTCGGGGTATCTCCTAGTCGAGCACTCCCGCCTAGACTTGTTTCAGCTTTGCTCTTCTTACTTTTGCTCGCACCTGAGCTGAGCTTATAGAAATCATAAGTCAACAAAACTTTCTTTCCTTCTGAAGTACTCACACATGAGAAGATATTCTTCACAGCTCGAAATGTGGTTTCTTAATCAATACCTAGTATTATAGTTCCATTAATTACTATGAGTAATATGTTAATAATAACTGAATAAATAGAGTAACTTTTTGTTGTTGGGCATCTCCCTGGTGAGAGCAACAAATTGCTGTTAGTTAGTGTTTCTGCATTTGTTTTTGTTGTTGAGCTAGGGTATTTCGACTGCGACTCTCGCTTCCCTTTGTTCCTCTGCATCTTCTTCTTCTCGAAAGTCTAGGGCGTTGTGAACGCTGCGCTTATCAGAAGCTGAGTTCAGTCTGGGTCTGAGTCGCACTTACCAGCGTGCCGATAGCCGTTGGCTGCAGCAAGCCGTGCTGCAGGATGTGGACGCATGTCTGTACCAGCAGCTGGAAGCGTTCATCGGTTTTGGCCTGAAACCAATGATTGGTGGCTCGTCGCAGTTCCGTTTGCAGTGTGAAAACTAGAAGTTGTTGTTGCTTTAGTTCGCGTTGTTGATTATGACTGCGCCTGTGCGTGTCACAGCTCCAAACTGGCGGCACAGCCGATGGTTGCACTGGCGTTCCACTGGACATTTCCCTTATTGTTGTTACGGCTGCGGTTGCTTAACGGAGTACGTTCACTCATATTTGTATTAATGTTTTTCAGTGCATTGGGATCTTGCACTTTTATGCACTGAGTTTGCAAACAATCGGTATCGCATATCGAACAATATCGAAAAGCAGCTGTTGGCAATTTGCCCAGATAATGACAGGTGGCAGCACTAGAGATGGTATTTTCTATTTTCTTTATTCAGTGTTGCTTCCATCACTAGGCGGTCATTTCAAATGAAAGCTTTTAATGCCTGTATCATCTAAATGGTATATGCAGAATTCAAATTGTTACAAATTGTTGCGATTTTATTGAAATATATGCACACTCAGTTCACATTTAGATGCATATACGAAAAGATTGTTCATATAATACTAGATCTATTGGGTTTTCTTGTCGTCCTTGCTAGATTTTCCCGCGCCGGTGGCCTCCTCTTTGAAATGCAAGAAGACAAATGAGAACACAAAGACGCCAATCATCATGGAGAAGGCGCTGGTGTAATAGGGAAATGCGCTCGGTATGAATCGCTCGTATTGTGTGTGCTCCAATGGACGCACCGACACCTGTGTGGTGTTGTACAGGTGCGTGTAGCCAACGCGATTGTAGTCGACCTTAAACTGATAGACGCCATAGACATCCGGTATCTTGAAGCGGGCCTCGTAGCTGCCGCCTTTCGTCTGCTTAAGGAAGGTGCGCACAAACGGATCGATGCGTACAAACTCGAGCTGAATATCATTTGCTTTGAATGACTGCCAAGTGCCCTGAACCAGCTCTTCGATGGCAATTGTATAGACAACGGGATCCGTAATGGTGTACGCCTGCTCTGGGGGATTGCTCTCGCCCACCTTGTTGTGGCGCACAGAGGCTACACGCAGTCGGCCGCTCTCTCCAAACACCCACTTACTGATGGATTCGGCGACAGCGCGGTTACCCGCCTGCTTGTGGAAGGCGCCGTTCTGTGCATACTGCACGGCCATGGTGAAGGTTTCGTCGGCAAAGAATTGCAGTGAACCAGAGAACACGACGCGTGCATTGTTGCGCGCCTGCAGAGCGGCAATCAGCAATGTGTTACGGCCCACAGCATGTGGATAGTCAGAGACGCTCGACTCCGGATTGTAGCTGTAGGCGCTGCTCTCGGCCGTTAGGAGTTTCAACACTAATGGATTCTCCTTGTCAGCAATGAGTCCGGTGCCGCGATAGAGCAGTGGAGCTGCATCCGCTTTACGGTTATCACTGCCAACCACGGTGGCAGCATCGATAAGATTGAGGGCAGAGGTCAGAATCGTTGTGTGGTCGCCCGCATCGCTGACATCGTAGTGCAGATGATCGATGACCGCAGCTTTCTCTTCATCCAGCTCGAATCCGCATTCCGAGGCGAACTCACGCAGCGCATCACCAGATTTCTCGCTGCCCGCAACCAAAACGTTGCCGCCATCGTCGACAAACTGGGCGAGTCGCTCGACGCTAATGTCGCCGCCGAATTCCTCCACGCTGGGCGCAAATATAATCAAGTTTTTGTACAAATATTCGCCATAGCGAGATAACAACAACCCAGAGTCATCAGCTAACTTATAGGTCAATTTAAAGCCACGATCTGTGAGGAAAACGTATGAAAGAAAATAAATGTTGTACACGTCATAGCTCGTGCATATGTATGCATGTATGTGTGTATGCCGGTTACCTTGCAGTGTTTTGAAGAAAATTGAATGCGTTTCACGTATGGCCAAATTGTCTAGCAATACCAGGGTATTGGCATCAGTCTCCAGCACAGCATTGCAATTATTTATTGCCAAAATAGCAATTAATAGAAGTTTCCACATTTTGAAAAAAGCCGACTCGAGTGTCAATTTTCACTGCCGATGGACAATGTTAAATAAAAGCATCTAAATATCGATATGTCGATGTTCTCATCAGTGTTGTCTGCTGATTAATCGATATTCTATCACCTGACAATGTACCAGTGAATTTTATATCTTTAATCCAATTTTATATTCTACTACTAAGCTAAATGTTGTCATTTTTTAATAAATAATAAAAACAGAATAATCATGTAAACTTATTAGAACCTTAACGAAACCGTAAAAACAGCAATATATTCACAATAATTGAAAATTGACCATATATATTACTATGAATACAAATCAGTGCTGTTTCTTGTTGAAAATATGTGCATTTATTATTGTTTATTTTTTTTTTTGTTATATGTGAATAAAATTACTAATTCAAAAAATCGTCGTAAATTAACGGTGTGGCAACGCTATAAGTTGTTCATTAGAATCAAAAGCTCCACTGATGGATGAGCTTATGGTTTTTAGCTTTCGGAGTATATCTAATTGGAAAGCGCTTGTTCGCAAATTCGAACTAAGTTTCAGTTGCAAAAAGCTGGCGTCGCGCGCGGACGCTGTAGTACGCCGCTCTTTTTGTTTACAGTTATACCATTGACAACGCCGCTGCGTGCGCGAGCGAGATTTGTTTTTTTTTTTTGTTTTTTGTCCAGTGTTATTAAAAATATATGGTTAACAATCGTGAAAATTGTGAGCGTAGCATCAGTCAGCCAGCCAGCAGCACATTTACTTACATATATATATTAAAACATGCAGAGCTTTAAGAGCGCACAGCATTTGGCCAGCAGCATGAACACCAACAACATCGACAACAACATCATTCGCCTATAAACAAACGTGTGTGCAAATCCATAAAACGCAGCAAAAACAAGAAGTACAAGAATGAAAACAAGTGCAAATTGGGCCGCTGCGGCAATCGAAAGCAAATAAATAGAAAGAGAACGAAAGAAATAAAGTCAGTATCAAGCAATTAAAATTCTTGTTTACACTAAATTCTGCAGATGCTTAACCGCTTGATGTACTAACTATGTATTGTTGCTCTCCGATATTGATGATGCTGCTGCTGCTGTTGCTGTTGTGGCTGCCTCTGCTTCGGCTTCTGTTTCAGCTTCTGCGGTTGTTGGTGGTGGCATTTGGTGGTGATGGTGGTGGTGTTTGTGGCGTCGGCGGCATCTCTCTATATGTATGTACATAGATACATAGATACCAAAATAATCAAATTAAATTGGAAATAGCGTAACAAGCGGCTGTCGACTATAATTGAAAGTCAAATACTCACGCTCTCTGTCTGCCTCGTCTTTCAGCTTGCCTTCAAAAAAGTGCAGTGGTTGCTAAATGAATGGTAATTAATGCATATGCAGCGCTCTACCGTTATATGTATCTACATAGTACATACATATGTATACATATATACATCATGTGCGAGAGCAAGACAGAAACCGTGTAGTATGCGAAGCAGTATCGAAAACAAAAGTGCAAGTGCCAATTGCTTTTGTTTTTGGTTTTTTTTATAACGGTGTTAGTAGAGCGCGATTGAAATTTATCGATCGACCAAAAAAATTCAACAGCAACATCAGCGGGAACGCCAGCAGCAGCCGCAGTCGCAGCCACAGCAGCAGAACGTAAGAGAATGCAATTGGAGAGAGGCTGCTTTACCGGTCATCGACGCTGACGCTAACGCAGACGTTGACGACGACGCGACGCCAGCACCGGCATATAGCAGGACAAGGCCGTCAGTTGGTTGCCAGCTTTGCGGTCGGCGTGAAAGTTCATTTCATGCGTGCAGTCCACAGCAGCAGCAGCAGAAGTAGCGGCAGCGCAAAAGTGAAATCTTACCAATACTGCGCTCTTTGCTATCTTATGTGTGTGTGTGTGTGTCTGTCTGTTTGTTGTTAAATTGTAACACGAATACATAATAAATACAAGCAGCAACAACAACAACAATCGCTACATTTACATTTCTTTTTATTTTTGTTTTTTGTGCAGTGATGTGCTACCAGAGTAGCTGAGCAATTAGACCAATAGAATTAGTGAAGACAAAAAAAAGTAAAAAACAAAGTGAAACACGAATATCAAGAATCGGCAGCCGAAATTTTTTTTTGTCAATCACATACTCCAAGAAGACGAAGAACACGAAGAAGAAGCGCAATTACAACATTGACCCGCTGTACCGCGTCGGCGGCAGCCAGCGGGGCGCTGGCAACGAATTGCGGTATGAATTGACTCTTATATTGAATTCTTATGCAGATGTGTATGTGAGTGCATGATTATGTATTTGTATTTAGGTACATGGAAGTACAGTGAAAGCTTCCTTGGTGATCTTATTCTTTAACTGGTAAACGGTATACGTATGAATCAGTATACGACATGATTGAGTACAGTAAAGCTCTACATACTGCTGGGGCTAATTTCTTAAATATATTATTGGAAAATAAAAATATAATAATTAAAAAATAATCATTCAGGTTTAGAAAATATACATACATACGTATGTGTATATAAATATTTATCTTATAATCCTCCCAGATAAATAATCATCCCAGATAAATAGATTTATCTTATATTTTTATGTTTACATATTGTCTCCCACTTCTTTAAAAATATCTTTATAGGGAGCATCTACTTTAGCAGAAAACGCTCATGACAGTATCTCCACATATACATATGCATGTATGTGTATGATAACAACGGCTCTGGCAACATTTACTGTTTAGTTTGTAGTTTCGTCAAAATGGTAGACAATGCATAGTAAACATGAGAGAGATGAAACCCAAAATTGAGTACATGCAGACTAAAGCAGCAACTCGTAGCCACATGCTTAGTATATTATTTACATATTCAAATCACGTCTATGCAAAGGATGCATTAAAATGCATTAGATTCACAATTGGAAAGAATACCAGAAGCTTAACAGTTATGCATAAAGCTAAAATTAAATACAGCTTAAAGTAATTTCCATGAATTGAATGTATATCACAAGAAATATGTAAATTAAATAAAATCATTCAAAAAATAAATTCCACGAACTCCAGAATTGATCACAAAATTATGATAAGCTCTGGAAAGTGTATAAATTGTCAAATGCAACTCTGACCTTCAAATGCTGTTCGAAACTAAAATTTTGTTGTCAACAATTTGTAGTATTTTTTGCGAATTTATTCGAAAGACTTGGCATATTGTTTACATATGCACATACATTTATACTTAAAGCACATCTCATCAGGGATTGTAGTTGAAATGCAGTCCAGTTGACCCACAAATAATTGTGTAAATTGTTAAAAGAATTAACGTCGATCTAAATAGCGACACATTGCAATTAACAAGCGAAGGTGGTAATTAAACCGAAGAAAGAATATATGTATGTACATATGTACATACATGCATACATACATATGTACATAAAATAAAGCGTATAACATACGCCAAAAAGTGCTAAAAATAGATAAATGGCTGACGCGGCAGCTGACAATTGAATGGGCGAGCGGGTGACTGGCTATGCTACGCTGTGAGCTTTCGTATGAACGAGGGTCGCTTCAGCCGTATGGAGAGAAAAAGAGTATTCCAAAGGCCGCTAACAGTAGCCAGACCGCGCGATTTGGGGGTTAGTTATTTTTGGGGACGGCAATGATGACGATGTTTCTATACAAATACACATACAAACGCATATACAGTTACGCACGCCGACAGTCTGACAACCCCAACTTTTGCTAAAACTTCGAAGGATATTTTTTACCGGCGGGGATGCTGATGCTCGGTTTTTTTTCCTCCTCTACTCGACCGTCGTCATGCTTTTGCCTTTACTTTACATCTATTGGCAAACTCTATACACACAGACACAGACACAGACACATACACGTATATTTTACACATGTATTTCTATGCAAATGTCAAAGCTGCCAAGCGTCGACAACGACAAAGTCGTCGTCACTTCTCTCGTCCCTGCGGCGACCATGCGGCGAGTGTAGCGGATTTTGTTTGTGAAGGCATTACTGTTGTTGTTGTTTTCATTTAAAATATCCTTTAAATGTTCGAAGTAAAATGGGCTTGTCATATGCATATAACATAGAGCAGTAGATTGCATATTTTATATATATTCAAATTTCGCAACGACAGCAACAGTCAAAAACGAAGCTGTAAGCATCAAACATACAATCAATGTGAACTAATATTTATATATATTTTTAATATAAAAAGTTGTGTATAGGGTAGCTTTTAGTTGAGTGTTCTCAATTCAAACGTGTCTATGGCTGTTTCTTTTTTTTTTTTTTGGGTCTGGCATTCTACGCGCTTTCTGGGCGAAAAGCATGGGGATGCGCCAGCGCTGCAGAAAGGTGCGTTTGTAAGTGTAATACTTTTTGAACGGTGGTGCCATCAACTTTGTAAACTCACCACCAATGGCCCGTTTGCTCATTCTCTCTCTGTCGTTCACTCACTAATCTTGTTCCTAGCTGTCTTCCGAACGCTGTGTTTTATGTTCCAATGTTGTGTTATAATATTTCTGGCTTTCGTTATTATTATTGTTGCTGTCGCTGTTGTTGTTTGAAAATTGTTTGGCCAAACAATTGCAAATTGTGCAACACTTGAAATTTGGAGCATGTAGCCTCTGCGGGCACAAGAAATACAAATTGCGCCACTCAACACGTCAACGCTGGCGTCTCTATTGCTATCTTTCTACAAGTATGTAAACATGCAAACATACATACATATATACATAGAAATATACATAGATATTTATGTATAAATATATATATAGTATAGTATATACACCCATACATTTCTATACATTTTTATGTATCTTCGTCAAACAAAAAACGAAACCAGTAGCATGACGCTGGTCAGAAGTAGTCGACTTACAGCTACCCTATAGTCTGCATAGTAATATATTAGTTGTTTATTGTTATATTATATGTACTGAACTTGTATCATTTCAGATTTTTAGATAACTTAAAAGTGCTTCGAGCTCTTGATTACACGGTATCGGTATCGGTGTCGGTTTAAGACGACAACAAACAACAATTATGAGATATGCGATCGCAAAATTATCCCAAATTTCGCATACCGAAAGCGAATTCGAACCAACATAAAAATAATGAAAGTTCAACAACTATTTATGTACATACGCGTTTTGTTTACAAATTGTGAATGTGTGTGTAGCCGCTTATTAATCTGCATTAAAGGGTAATGCCACGTACATAAGCTGCAAACAATCAAGGCATAAGTCTTCAGCTTCGGCTCTAAGAGCTTTGCATTTCTTTTGTTTTTGTTTGCAAACGCATAATGAGAATAAGAAGCGCTGGAATTTTTTCTTCTTCGTTCGTCTCCCGTTCGTCATGTTTATTTATTACACTGAAAATATTTTTTATTCGTTCGGCTTTTCTTGGGAGAAAATTTAGGCTTTTTTATTGGATTTTTAATTGCAATAAAAAAATATATACATGATTCATATTTCAATTTTTGGAACTGTACACCAAGCTTATGAAAATGTATTTAATTTGTATTTTTTAAATATATAGAAAAAATAATTTAATAATTATATATTAAATATATATATATTTTTAAGATAATTTGTTGTAAATCAAATTCATGTTTTTTCATTCGAATGTGCTTAAAAAAGATTGAATATAATACATAATTGATTATATATATTTTTTATTTTTAATTTACGATTTAACATCCTGTTGTGCAGTGTATTAGAGTTGGTTGTGGTGCTGTGGTTGGCTGTTATGCTTTGCTGGACTTTGTTTTGCCTTTCTTCTTCCCATTTGTTTTTGGCACTCTGGCACACACAGAAACAAGGACACGGAAGCGTCTTAGTGTTGTTATTGTTTTGTGGGATTTCACTTCAGAATTATATCCAAGCACACGCACACACAAAAACACACACACACACACACACACACGCACACACACATTAGTCGCATTCCTTGCATGATTCCTATTTTGGTTTTCTTACTCGGTCTGCTTCTGCCACATTCCATTAAATAGAACGAATACCAAAATGCTATAAAAGCAGTCAAGAAATTAAAATTGTTAGCCAAAGCTGTTACTCACACATGCCCACGCACACGCCCACGCCCACGCACACACCTACATATACACATATATTATTGCCTAGCCTGGGGCCGGGAATAGCCAAGGCGTCAGGATAAACTTTCACACATTTATAAATACACACATTAACAGACACACACAATCACACGCACACGCATAAGCACTTAGGATAGACACATGTGCATGCATACATACATATGTATGTATATACGTACATATGCATGCATATACATATATCGTATTCCGATTTGAAATCAGTGAAAAATGTCAAATGAGCAACATTCGTTGACCCAAAAACAAATCAAATTGCATTCATAAACTAAAGAGCAACGTGTGAGAGAGGGAGAAAGAAGAGAGAGAGCGAGTTGTGTGTAGAGTATTTAGCAGCTTTGCTTGCAGCGCAAATTTATCACACAGTTTGCGCGAGGTCAGTTCGATAAGTCAGTGAGGACTCGTAATATTATAATATTAATATACTTAAGAAATAAATATTATAGTTTGTTACCGCAATAGTCCGCTATATCGAAATTGGTATCATATGAATTTCTCAAATTTTATTTAAATTTCGCGTAAATTTCGATTTCAAACTGTTGAGTCGCTTGGATTGGCGATATGTGTGGGTTAACCCTCGTTCATAGTTTTGTTTGCCCCTTCTTTTTCTTCTTCTTGTTCAACTTAACTTTTGTGAAAACGTATTTAGCCTTGGCATATGCAATACTTTATTTTATAGTATCATTGCCTCCATCATTGGCGTCATGAAAGAAACAAAAAAAAAAAAAAAAAAACTACGGCAACATCGACTTGTCACCAAGGCATGACCATAAAGTTTTCCTTTTTGTTGTTGTTGTTGGCGTAACTTTTGCGCTCGGTCTCGGTGGCAAAGCTTCATTATCTCTATCTGCCTGTATCTGGCTTTCACTGCGTGGCCTTTTAGCTGGTTTCCGCTCGACGCGCTGCTGTGATGTGGTGATGCCATTGTTTTTATGACGCCACATTCAACCACACACACTTTTATAAATTAAGTGTATGTGTGTATGTGTGCGTGTGTGTGTGGACATTACATTAAGACGAAGCTCAGCTCAGCTCAGCTCAGCTCAGTTTTATAACGTCCGCCTTTGTTTGACTTGATTAAGTCAACAAAATGTCGATTTGTTGCCTTAGAAGCTGTCAATCCATATTGAAACCATCTAATCGGAATGCTTTCACAAGCTCTAACAGCATTTCCTATCTAGGTCATGGTCAAAAGTCAAAGTTCAAATAGTGCAAAATATCAGTGTGCCGATCTAATCAGACTAAATGAATTGATTGAATAAGCCAATTATGATATGGTATAGCACACTGAAGCGTGCAGGTACAGCACTTTCTATTAGCCAGAAATCACATTTATCAGAGCATGTGACAGGCAGATGAGTTAACTAAAGGGTGCTATTGTCACAGCAGAATTCGTTATTCAAATCAATAAAAACATGATCTTAGACAGAGAGAGAGAGACTGAAGAGAGTGAAGAGAGGGATGAGAGTAAAGAGAGTGACGAGAGTGAAAAGAGGGAAGAGAGTGAAGAGAAAACAAAGAGACAAAGAAAGAAAGATTGGGAGGAAGAGAGATTGAGAGAAGGAAAAATTAAAAGAGTGAAATAAAGAAAAAAAGTGAGAGAGAGAGCGATACCGAGAGAGCGAAGGAAAGAGACAGAGAAAGAACGAGAGAGAGCGGGAAAGAAACAGAGAATGCTTGATTAAGTCATCCTATATAAAGCTGCATATAGGTACGTAAGTCAACATTTCCAATTTACACCTTGAACGTGTGTATTAAGGGAAATAGACCCGTGTTTGAGAATCGGTTCGTTAACTTGGATTTCCACAACAATGAAGCCAATTCTTCCGTTCAAGCTTAAGATATAAATTGGAATTCCGGATGCAAGCCCGTTCGTTAATAAAGCGCGCTCACAGCCAAGTTGGAAAGGTGTTTGTCGAATCGTTTATAGCCCAGCGCCCGCCTTATGAAATATGCGATACTCTAATTTGCGACCAACAAAGAAACTAATATGAATGCAAATAATACCATTGCAGACAAAGGGCGCCACACACACACACACATCCACCCCCCACACACATTAGCCAGCTCGTTGAGCTGCACTTTGTTTACCTTCCTTAAAGGATATCCTCCATAGAGTATATATAACTACATAGATGCCATAGCGCCACCGCCCAGACTCGACAAGCGCACACATTTGCCTGCTTTGGCATTTCGTTAGCATTTCCCTTTTTCATACGCGTCCACATTGATTTCACGGGAGTATATTTGGCTTCGTTAGTTCTTAAAGTGGTAAGCCTTTATGACGTCTGTGGACGTCAGAAGCCGGGTATTAAATATTGTGAGAAAGAAACGTACCATATGAAATCTATATATATAGCTACCCTCACATAGGACCTCCATGTCATCCCTCCAGGAGGATCAAAAATTGGTTTTGATTAGAATGTAGCTAATGCACAGATAGGATATGTAATTCCCGATTTAGATCTACTGCTTGTTCTTGGACTTCCTATACTTTATTGAAAATAATCGATAACTTTTTACATGTACAAACGATCGATTTAAATCGATATTAAACTGCAGTTTTTTTAACCTTACAAAAGTAAATAAATGTACATTGATATATCTACATATGGAGGGGTTTTCAGCAGTCCAAAGAACCAGAGTAAAGGTATCTTCTAGTCGGGCACTCAGTCCACTTAGAGGAGTCTCACGTGTTCAGCTGTATGCGGCTCAGGAGCGAGCATTGTGCAGTCGTTTGCGCTCGACTGAAACGTTTTTACTTGATTTTGTTTCTTCTTTTTTTTTCTTTTAATTGGTTTGGAGCACGTTATGCAAATGCTGTAACTGTGTACCAGAAGGCCCATCAGACTCTCGTTGAACGACCCCAAAAAAACATTAGGCATTGTGCGAGCACCCTTCAAGTTGTGCCCCAGAATGTGTGAGCTGTGCAATTAACCCGAAAGGCCAGCGCTGCGAAGCACTACTCGAATAAGAAGTAGTAGTATTAGTAACAGCAGCAGCAGTAGAAGGTGGAAAAACTCTATGAATGTAAAAAATTCTATTCAAACGTTATGCATAATTATGATGTCTTCATATGAAGGGAGCTTAAAAACTAATTACGTTTCGTTGTGCAGAAAGTAATACAAAATTTAACACTCAGCTATATATACTCGGTTCATGAGATATCCGCTTGAATGATTCAACTTCCACATATGAAAAATAACGCTAATGACAGCGATAAAGAAATAATGTAGGTCGATTGTGAAACAATGAATTGTTATATGACCGCAAGGTGTTTCATACCTCACAGAGTTATTGAAATTGAAGCTACTGCGGCAGTTGAGTTGTACAACTCAATACAATAAAAGTTAATCGTAAAGGTTTAAAGAAGCTTTGAGAGAAAGGCGAGCAAAAACTGATGATCGATAACATAACTGTTAACTGTAAGGGGCCAAGGCATAGAGCTCAGTTCTGCCTGCATGTGAAGTCTTCAATAGCTGCTTCAGAAGTTTGGTAAGGAGCGTGCAAAACATGCTGATCGATAATTGTTATCGATTATTGAATATGTATATATTACGTATATACAGCATAATTAAAGATACATAAAGATATAGTAAAATACATTGCAAATTGAAAATTTAGCCATAACTACCCAGAAAAACAATCGATTTGGCTGCTAGGTATATCGAACGAGATCAGGCCCAAGTTCTTCGAGTTCTTCGGGCGTAGCGCAGCATTTCCACGACTCCTGCACACCGAACGTATAGACGGTCTCATGAAAGTACAGTTCACTTGGCATTATGAAGGCAGTGGGAAAATCGAGATTATTCATTGTATCGGGAAACTTTTCCAGCTGCACACTAAAACCGGAGTACTGATAGTATCGAGCACAGTTTTTGCCCATAATGGGCTCCTCGTCCCGCATATCGTCTGGAAACTTGTTGGCTGTCTCAAAGCGCATGCCCGGCTGATTGCTGTGTATCTCCATATAGCGGCCCGATTCGGGATGCAGGAAACGCCCAACGAAATGCAAGATATTCGCATCGAAATCCTTGTCGATGGCATAGCACACATCGAACCCGGGCAACGATTTGTTCTCGAACTGTCGCAAACGATCGCCAATGAAGGCCGGCACACGCATATCGTAAACGGTGTCGTTTACTTGCTTGAATCGGCCCGTCGGCAGCGCGTCCTCGTTCGTCTCAATGATATCATCTGCGGCTATCACCAGCCGATGCTCCAGTATGCCCTTGCGGCCCGCCTTCTGTCCGGCCAAATTGAAATAGCAATGATTGGTGATATTGACGGGCGTCGTCTGATCGGTGCGCGCCTCGATCCGCATGTAGAACCGATTGTCGTCGTCCATCGTGAAATGGAGCAGCACCATTAGATTGCCCGGATAGCCCTCGTGCTCGTTTGCGGACTTATGACTGAGCGTAATGCCATCGGGCAGTATCATATGCAAGTCCCAAATGATGCGATCGAAGCCAATGAAACCGCCATCGACATGATGATTGTTTAAGTTTCGCGCTAGCCTCACCTTCCGCCTATCCATCATGAACTCCGCATTGGCCACACAGTCGGCTACGCGTCCGAGCATGCAGCCGAAGTGTCGACTGCGGTTCGCCTCATAGCCGGCCACGTCGTTGAAGCCCAAGACAACATCATCCACTTTATGGTAGGCATCCACGCAGCTGATGCTCTGTATCGTTGCGCCCAACTGAATGATCTTCACGGACAAGTGATTCGAATTGCTAATCGTATAGCGTCGCACCACCTGAGCCCTCTCGGTGAATGGATTGATTGCAATGCCAAAGATATCCTCTACGATTTTCACCATAATTTCGAAATTTTTTCCCAAACAACAAATTTGAACAATTTCGAATTTCTTTTAAAGTTTCATTTGAAATTTGATTTTTATATTGAACAATCAAATTTTGACTTTTGAGTTATCAGCTATGGATGATGAAATTAGCGAAAGTTGCTTAAACAGCTTCAAGGTGTTTAAAGTTTATAAAAAAGAGATTGAATTGCATAATAATTGCAAGTGTCGTCGGGACTGCTTGACTATCATATACCCACACCATCGATGCCAATCAGGCAAGCTGACAAAAATTGTGTTAATGAAGTACGACAGCAGCAATCGATAGCTATAAATAGCTGCGATATAGGAAATGTTATCTATTTTAATATTTGAACTAATCTGCCACAATTATGATATAACATTATTTGACTAATTTGCCCGTTTAGTGCGATAGATAGTTTACGTTTATGACTGCGAGATTATTGGGTTCATTGGCTTCTCAGCAATACAGATAACAGTAAATTGCATCCAGAAAGTTATCGTTATCTTATCAACAGATTGCGTAGACAATGGACAGCTAATATAATCGGAAACTGATCTCTATAATATACGAGCTTAATATTTATATATTTATATATCGATGTACTTTAGGTATGATTTACAATGTTGGGGCCATGAGGTTGGTCTATTTAATCATCGACCGGGACACATTTAATTATTTTGCCAATAACCGTGACTGGAATTATTAATATGCATTCGTTAAAGCCATGACTGAATTATTCATAAGTCCAATGCATGGTGGTATATGGTCGATATATATATATATATATTCAAATCCATGTAATTGCCATTAATTGCGACGCTTAAATCCAAATTGCGAACTCAATTAAGTGCAAGTCGTGGCCCTCGGGCTCCGGCTAGCTGGAATATCATAATTTGAAGTCCTGCGGCAAATATCGCGTGGAAAACAAAGGCGAAGAAGAGAACGAACCCGCCCTATCTATTAACTGGGCCAATGTCGAAGACTACAGTGGCAACAGCTGCTCCAGTTCCGATACTAGTTACAGCTCGACGCGACGCGTTACAACCGCTAAAACCTTGATATACGCATATGCAACCTTGGGCTCTGTCAATCTATACCAGCCTAGACTTAGCTGCAGTTATAATACAACTTATCGATGAAAACTAGGTATAACGCTTATCGATCAAACTAATCGTTTGCGATAAAAATCGAAATTCGATTTATATACAGATGTGTCTATATATTCGCATACCAAATGCTATTCCAATAAAAGCTTTGCTATCTTCTTGATAAAGCTCATGCCGAAAGTATTTGAGACTTTAGTCCGACTTCAATTAATATATATATATATATATATATATATATATATATATATATATGAAAATATATATATTCGCATACCAAATAACTGTCAAAGTTCATGTTAAATAATAAACTGAGACTGAGTAAAATTCAATTATCTGTCAAATTGCAATGAATATATGTGATACTTATACTTATAATTATACTTATACTTATACTTATACTTATACTTATACTTATACTTATACTTATACTTATACTTATACTTATAATAATACTTATACTTATGCTTACACTTATACTTATACTTATACTTATACTTATACTTATACTTATACTTATACTTATACTTATACCTATACTTATACTTATACTTATACTTATACTTATACTTATACTTATACTTATACTTATACTTATACTTATACTTATACTTATACTTATACTTATACTTATACTTATACTTATACTTATACTTATACTTATACTTATACTTATACTTATACTTATACTTATACTTATACTTATACTTATACTTATACTTATACTTATACTTATACTTATACTTATACTTATACTTATACTTATAATTAAACTTATACTTATACTTATACTTATACTTATAATTAAACTTATACTTATACTTATACTTATACTTATACTTATACTTATACTTATACTTATACTTATACTTATACTTATACTTATACTTATACTTATACTTATACTTATACTTATACTTATACTTATACTTATACTTATACTTATACTTATACTTATACTTATACTTATACTTATACTTATACTTATACTTATACTTATACTTATACTTATACTTATACTTATACTTATACTTATACTTATACTTATACTTATACTTATACTTATAATTAAACTTATACTTATACTTATACTTATACTTATACTTATACTTATACTTATACTTATACTTATACTTATAATTAAACTTATACTTATACTTATACTTATACTTATACTTATTTTTAGACTTAACTACATTAATTTCATGGAGAAATTTATATATATATATATATATATATATGTATATATTTATAATGATGCATATAGAATCGTAATTCGCAAATCTTCTATAGATATACAGATGTAAATAGCTTTTTTGCTGTAGTCTCGAGTCTATTTTACACATGTTCTACTGTTTGGACAAAAATAAAAACAATCAGCGTTCAAGGTCCGCTTCCATTTCGATCTATTAATATATCAGTGTTTTAGTCATACGCGTAGTACTTATCACACATGACTGAATATAATACGCCATAGTGTATATATGGACAGACAAAGTACGCTCGTAAATCTACGAAATCATTAGCCATACAACTAATTATGCCTAATAGACCTGTGGAATATGCAAAATATATGAATGTGCAGTTATTTTTTGAGTCAGTAGCGATTAGGTTGTACCAGGCGTTATTCAAATGGGCATGTAAGCCTTCTAGTAACAACTTGCTTACAAAGATATCACGTATACGCAGATGGGTCGCAACCTTAAAGACAGACATCGTCGTCCCCATACTGGGAATGTTGTAATGCAAGAGTTTTCGTATGCATATGTTCGTTACACTCCCCCATTTCCTCTACTTAGGACGATTATGTTTTCAAGTTTGTTCAACATAGTTCGAGTACCCTGTAGCACCTATATGTTCGGGGTATTTAGAGTTAGGTATGCATAAATATATATGTATCTATATATAAATGCATTACATATTAAATATACATATACGTATACCTATACCTATTCTTATACTGTACTTATATTTATACTGATATACCTATTTGCTAACCTTTAGTTATATATTTATGTTTACTTGATATTTATCCCTAGTAATATTTATATTTATCCTATAACTTATATTTTGTCTTCTGCTTATACTTAGTCTTCTGGTTCTACTTAGTCTTCTACTTAGTCTTCTACTTCTACTTCTTCTTCTTCTACTTCTACTTCTACTTAGTCTTCTACTTCTACTTCTACTTCTACTTCTACTTCTACTTCTACTTCAACTTCTACTTCAACTTCTACTTCAACTTCTACTTCTACTTCTACTTCTACTTCTACTTCTACTTCTACTTCTACTTCTACTTCAACTTCTACTTCAACTTCTACTTCAACTTCTACTTCTACTTCTACTTCTACTTCTACTTCTACTTCTACTTCTACTTCTACTTCTACTTCTACTTCTACTTCTACTTCTACTTCTACTTCTACTTCTACTTCTACTTCTACTTCTACTTCTACTTCTACTTCTACTTCTACTTCTACTTCTACTTCTACTTCTACTTCTACTTCTACTTCTACTTCTACTTCTACTTCTACTTCTACTTCTACTTCTACTTCTACTTCTACTTCTACTTCTACTTCTACTTCTACTTCTACTTCTACTTCTACTTCTACTTCTACTTCTACTTCTACTTCTACTTCTACTTCTACTTCTACTTCTACTTCTACTTCAACTTATACTTATACTTCTACTTCAACTTATACTTATACTTACACTTATACTTATACTTATACTTACACATTTAAAGAGTAGCTCCCGGGCGAGCTCATTCGTATTGGTTTTATATTTTTCATTCCCTTTTATTATTTTGTATTTTGTTGTATTGTGCGATTTAGTAGCAGCAGCAGCAACAACTTCAAGCTGTCCAAGCTGCTGTTGCGAGTCGAGTTCTAGGGGCAGAGGGCGAGGTGCGAGGTGCAAGGGGCCGAGGCTCGAGCTTCGAGGTGTTGCCGTCAACAACTGCGTAGCTGCATAGCTGCATAGCTGCACAGTTGCATATACAAAGACATTCCAAGTAGAACTAAGAATAAGATTGAGATTGGGAATGGGAATAGGAATTTCACTGGGAATGAGGGGGCAGTGGGACTGAAAGTGTGACGGATATGGGAGACTAAGCGACGAGTGGGCCATTGCAGGCAAGGAATGTGTATAATATATATTACGCCTTAGTTACTAGGGTTACATAAAATTCAATTTGACTGCGAACTAAAGAGCTTAAGCAGTAAAGCTAAGAATTTAAGAATAATCGAGAAATTCTCTGTAATTAATTTGCGCTTAGCTAACTTTTGGAAAGTTTCTTCACTTGACTGATTTACAGAATTGAAGTGATAATGCTGAAGGTCATTAATATGCCCTGAACCCATTGAGAATGGGTTTATGTGTCTGAGTAGCAGCTTTGCTCAAGGTTCCGGGTATCTTCTAGTCGTGCACTCATCTTTATTTGCTATTTTTATATTTATTATATGCTTTCTGTATTGCAGATGCCTGGACTTGTGGTCTTCAGGCGTCGCTGGTCTGTGGGCTCTGATGATCTGGTAGTGCCCGGTGCATTTCTCTTGGCGCTTCACTTTATATGGTGAGTGTTACCATATATATATATACACATATATTCAGATACAGATATCGATGCTAATTGTTGCAAATGTGTTGATGTTCATTTCAGTTTTGTACTTGTGGCCGTCTCGTTAGTTTTATTTGAATATGACACAAGTGTTTTAAGTGTTAAGCTATTATTCTATCATCTAATAGGCTACTTGTTAATTCTGTTTTGTAAGTATAACCAACAGACGACTCACTAGATCGTAATGCCCTAACTTGTCCGTGTATTTGTGTTTGCTCAACAGTTTCAATATGCGTAGAAATAGGAATTTGTGTGATCTCGATGCGCGGCAGCATTTTGGACTCCGAGGCGCGTACATCGATCAATATATGGATATATCTCAAAAGTTGTAAGTAACACTGTATACATCATATATATATATATACCTATCCATACTTAAACTGCCTCAACTCATATCTTCTAGTGGTGATATTATTTGATATTTCATGGCTAATATTGGGCTCCATTTGGCTGTCCCATTTTTATATGGAAGCGCCCATCGATGAGGCCAAAAAGATCTTTATAGGTGAGTTAACTGGTCATTAGAAGCTGAACTGGTTCCAGGTAAGTTCTTTGGTATATAGAACGTGAACTTGTAGTTGAATTACATATTTAATATAGAAAGTGATCTAGTTAAAGATGAGTTATCTATTATATAGAAAATGAACTAGTTTCAGTTATCTTATATATAGAACTGAACTAGTTCTAAATAAGTTATATAAATGAACTTGTTCTAAAAAGCCAGTTGCATATACATATAATAGATTGAATTGAATCAGTTTTAAAATAGTTATCTTGTATATTGAAAATGAACTAGTTCTTGATATGATATTCATTTGAACTAGTTCTAGGTGAGTTATCAAGTATATTTAATCTGAATTTGTTATAGGTAAATTGTATGTAAAAATTGAACTAGTTCCAGAAGACCTATCGAATTGAAATAAAATTTGAACTAGTTCCATATATATATATATATATTTATATATATATATATATCCTATAAAGAGAGCGAACTAGTTGTATTTAAGTTGTTAAAATGAACTAGTTCAAGGTGAGCTATCATGTCAATAGAAACTAAACTAAACTAGTTCCAGTTTATACTTAATATGGAAAGCGAACTATCTATCGTATAGAAAATGAACTAGTTTCAGATAAGACATTCAAATGAACTAGTTCTATATGAGCTCTTATGCAAATAGAAACTAAACTTATTCTCGACAAGTTATTATATTAAATATGATAACTGAACTAGTTCAAATGAACAACCAAAATTGATAACAAACTTCTTGTTCTCTCTTTGAAATGAACTTTTAATTAAAATTTCTAATAGTTTTGAAAACTTTGTTTATGGCTTCAGCTTGATATAAATTTTGCTGTTTTTGTTTTTTTATGGCAATTGTTAGAATCTTTTGGTTTCATTAACAACTTTTAATTAGTACGCTGAGAGCTGAAAAAGGAAACAAAAAAAAAAAAAAACCAAAATAATAATCAGTCAATCGCGATCAGTCGTTCGACCTGTAAAGACGTGAATTCGAACAGCCTTCGCTTAAGCTCTACTGCTGCAGAGTTCTAAAAATAGAACTTTGCGGTGCATTCTTCAACGCAACAGCAACAAAAACCGCACACGCAGCGTTTTCTTATCGCTTGCTTCCGCGTAACTCAATTGCTTTAATTGCAATTTACGAAATTTCGTCGCTTGGCGCGAGTGCGCCTGCACTCAAAAGCACAATCCGCGATGACATCTAATGTCAATAACCTCGCTACAGCTGTAAAGGTAAATGCAGAAATGCAAGCCCAGCTTAACGTTGTGATGGCAAATAGGCAAGCCTCCATCATGCCAATAAACTCAAAAATAGATATCGCCTCCGTGCAAGGCATCACTAACAACAAAAACACGAAACGTAAACAGCCAAATTCACCAAAAACCATCAAGAAAAGGCTCATCTTCGACGAACCAAGCACCAGCAATGCAGCATTAATATCAGAAAATCGATTTTCACTGCTCGTAGAAGAAGATGAAGACTACAGCGAATCACCTGTAGCTCCAGAAGCCCCAGTATTGACCGACCAGCAAACTACACCGAAACCTCGTCCGCCCCCCATATGGTGTCCAAACATCAAGTCTGTGGCCCTACTTCAACAGATAATAGATAAAGTAATTGATGCTAAATCATACGTAATTAAGCCAAAGAAGAATAACATAGGTGTATTAACCCAATGCAGTGAGGACTATCGCAGAGTTATAGACCACTTTACTAAGCTGGAATTGGAGTTCCACTGCTACCAGCTTAAGGAGGACAAACCATATAGAGTCGTGTTCAAAGGGCTTCACTCCAGCACTGATACAACACTAATTAAAAAGGAATTGGAAACCAAAGGCCACACAATTACAAATGTGCACAACCCACTGAGCCGTATGGACAAAACACCGCTAAATATATTTTTTGTTGACGTGGCTCAGGCCCCCAACAACAAAGAAATTTTGGACATTCGAGTTGTCTGCAGGCAACGCTGCACAGTGGAACTGCCAAGAAGATACAACGACCTGACACAATGCCATCGCTGTCAAGAATTTGGACACACACAACGCTACTGCCACAAAGCTCCCAGATGTGTGCGTTGCGCCGGGAAACACGCATCCAAAGACTGCACCCGCGAAAAGGACCAGGCACCAACTTGTGTGCACTGTGAGTTACAGCACCCAGCCAACTATAAGGGCTGCCAAGTATACAAGCGGTTGCGCAAATTGCAATCCCCAGCACAAAAAAGGAGTCCCACACAAACACCGTCTACGGGTCCGAGTACTGCTTCCGAAATTACAAGGCCCCGGAGCATTACCCAAGCCACGAGCTTTGCAACGCCTATTAGTGGTGTTTCTTACGCACAGGCCGCTAGAGGTGGACCGTCAAATAAGAATACCACAAGTGACACTTTGTTCACTGAAATGCTTCAGCAACAACAACGTCAGTTTGACGCAATTAATGCCGAGCTCAAAGCGATGCGAGAAGTACAATCCCAACAAGCAACCATGCTAAACAGTTTAATGGCCATCATAACCAAGCTTGCCTACAAATAATGGCTTTACGTGTGGGTATCTGGAACGCCAATGGCCTGAGAAACAAGACTCAGGAACTGGCTGCGTTTCTCTCACAAGAAAACATAGATATAATGTTAATAACAGAAACTCATGAGTGCCCCACTACACAAATTTTCGGATACGAACACTATCAGGCTCATGGTGAAGGAGCAAACTGCTTTGGTGGATCCTCAATCCTCATACGAGCAACAATACCGCATACACCTTTACTGCCAATTTGCAACGCAACAATGCAGGTCTCAGCCATCACCCTGCCTACGTCTATTGGAGCGATCGAAGTTGCGTCAATTTATCTTCCGCCAAACACTGGTCTGTGTGATCATCACATGGAACAGGTTCTAGGCCAAAGGTTGAATAAGACCCTCATCGGCGGCGACTGGAATGGATGGCACCCATTTTGGGGAAGCAATAGTGCGAATCGTCGCGGAGAAGTCATATTTGAGGCGATTCAAAACTTACAATTCAGCATATTGGCGACTGGAGCCCCCACCCGTTACCCAATTAATGGACACAGGCCCTCGGCAATCGACTTCGCTGTCTACAAAGGCATCTGTGACCGGCAATTGACCATTGAAGAATCCTTGGACCTATCCTCTGACCACCTGCCACTAATAGTCACAATCCACGCGCAGCCACAGCCCTTGCCCATTAGGAAACAACTACTGCCAGCAGGATCAGATTTAGGAGTCTTTAGGCGCGAGCTCCATTACTCTTTGCACATAGAAATGGAACTTAACACTCCTGAAGACGTGGACTACGCAGCAAACAAACTGCAGGAAGAAATAGTCAAAGCTGCGCACCAAGCCGCCCCACCATCTTGCCAAACAAGACAACAGTCTCCGTACAACATCCCCCTCACCTTGGAGGCCCAACACCTACTAATACACAAAAGATGGGCCAGGAGACGCTGGTTAAGATTACGCACGCCTGATGCCAAATCCATGTACAACGAAGCCACGAGGCATCTTAAAGCTGCTCTCGCCCTGCTTCAAAAGAGGTGTATCAGCGATGCGCTGGTACGAGCTGAATCGCCCACTGACGCAGAGTTTCAATTATGGAAATTTACAAGAAAGCTCAAACGGCAGCCAATACGACGTCATCCCATTCGGAGCATTTCTGGTTCCTGGCACATTGGAGACGAAGCTCAAGCTGAGGCTTTTGCAAACCACCTTCAAGACCAATTCACGCCGGTGATTACCGCAGAGGCCTCAGAAATCGAAGCAACAGAAGACATCGTTCTCTCGCCCCTCCCAGCTGAAGACCAGATAACTGGATGTACAAAAGAAGAGGTTCTTGAACACATCAGAAGAGTGAAGGCAAAAAAAATCCCCTGGATATGATCTAATAAACGGCAGAGTCCTTAGAGCACTGCCTGACTCCACCATAGACTACATAACTATGGTGTACAACGCCATGCTCCGCATCCGGCACTTTCCAGCCTGCTGGAAGCGCGCCGTGATTGTGATGATTCCTAAGCCTGGCAAACCCGTGGGAGAAATTGAGTCGTACAGACCAATTAGCCTGTTGCCAGTACTCTCCAAAATATTCGAAAGAATATTTCTGGAACGAGTACTGACACATCTGGGACGCCAGGAGGCCATTCCAAACCATCAGTTTGGCTTCAGGAGACAGCATGGAACACCGGAACAGGTTCACAGAGTTGTGCACCATATCCTTGGAGCCTTTGAAGAAAAGATGTACTGCTCTGCCGTCTTTTTAGACATCAAACAGGCGTTTGATCGAGTTTGGCACCTGGGACTGCTGCAGAAAGTGAGGACCACCCTTCCAGCCCCATTTTTCGCGTTGCTATCCTCATACCTTATTGGAAGAACCTTCCAAGTGTCAAGGGGGCAAACAGTATCCTTGACTAGACCAATTATGGCTGGAGTACCACAGGGTAGTGTTCTAGGCCCAACACTTTATACTTTATTCACAGGAGATATGCCAACTCCCGAGCCAAATATAGGAAGTACAGATGCAGTACTCATAGCGACCTATGCAGATGACACCGCCATCTTATCACGTCACGTATCTGCGCAAGAAGCTTCAGACTCACTACAAAAATATCTGGACTCTTTCGGACGCTGGGCAAAACGGTGGTGTATCACCATTAATGCACAAAAGTCTGTACATACTACCTTCGCCACTAGAAGAGGAGATTGCCCAAGCGTTGCATTGGGGCCCACTATTCCCAAAGCCTCAAAAGTAAAGTACCTTGGTATCACTCTTGACAGAAGGCTGACTTTTAAAGCGCACATAAGTCAAGTAACCTCAAAATGCAAAAGCAAGCTAAAAACCCTCGACTGGATGCTGAGAGCTTCAAGCAAGTTGTCTTACAGCAGCAAGGCCGCCATCTACAAGGCAATAGTTGTCCCAACCTTCGTATATGGTATCTCTCTATGGGGCTCCTCGGCGAAGACTACAAGGAACAAAATTCAGACCCTGCAGAATAAAGCACTACGCAGATGGACTGGAGCCAGCTGGTTTGTAAGAAACTCAGTCTTACATAGGGATTTAGCAATTCCCACAGTTGCTGAACTCATTGGGCGACACAGTTCAAGATACGCGGACAGACTTGCAGCGCATCCTAACCATCTCGCAAGCAACCTGGCTATAAACAACAATAGGCGAAGACTGAAGAGATTGCATCCTCTAGACAATATTAGAACTAATTAAGATAGTAGCTACAAGTGCAGAATAATTGGCATATCTGCCCTCCCATTAGTTAAGGTTTAGAGCTAAATGCGCTATAGAGTCTAAGACAATAAGCTGCAACAAAATAAAGAAATAAAAACGAAAAAAAAAAAAAAAAATAATCAGTCAAGAAAAAGCTTTTTCTAAATGGTTAAAGCAATAATTTTTTGAAATGTTTAATTAAAAAGTTTTACCATTCTCTATCTCTCTCTCTCTCTCTCTCTGCCGCACAGCCATCATCATATGCAACTGGACGTTGGTGTTTATTACGCTTATAACCATCTGGTGCACATTCGATGCAGCCGGTCGATCCTGGGTCAAGATGAAGAAATACCAGCGCTCCATGCGAGAGACTGAATCGCGATTCAACTACAAGCGAAGCAACAGCATGAATCGCAACTGGCGGCAACGGTAAGCGTTAGATATATCTATATATCTATATATCTATAACTATATATATATATCTATATATCTTCATATCTTCCATGCTCGACCATTTGCAGCAAAGTGATGCGCGCATATCAGGACAGCTGGGATCATCGCTGTCGTCTATTGTTCTGCTGCATGGGCTCGTCGGAGCGCAATCGCAACTCGTTTACGGATATAGCGCGGCTACTGAGCGATTTTTTTCGCGAACTCGATGTGGTGCCGTCGGATGTGGTCGCCGGCTTGGTTCTGTTGCGTAAATTCCAGCGACTGGAGCGCGAGGCAATTGTCAGGCAGCGCAAGAATGGAACATATGAGTTCCTCAGCGGTGTGCCCATCACGGAGCACACACAGTTCCTAGCACTCAACGATGCCAAAAACTATGATTTCTTTCAAACGGTCATACACTACATGTACTTTGCCCAGGGCGCCTACGGCTGGCCCATGTACGTCATCATCAACCGCAGCAAAATGTGGCATCTGGTGCCCGAGCTCAAGTGAGTATGGACATATGGACAGCGTTCAGTCTATTATTATCATATGTCATGCATGCATAACTAACTGGGTCATACGCCCCCATCTGCAGATGGAGTGAGCTGCATACCTTGCCATGCACTGGCCATGAAACTCCTGAAAGTGCCCTTCTATGCGATTTGTCCTTTGTGGACACCACTAATTGTAATCATGATTTGACTTTCTTTTGCTTTTCTCTCTTCAAACTTATAAGCTCTCACTTTGGTTTGCTTTTCTGCCTCTCTCCTTTCCTATATCTTCCTTCTATATTTCCTATCTCTCAATATTTATTTTTCGTTTTCTCTTCTCTTTTCTTTTTGTCTCTACTGTACCTTATTTTTCTCTCTCGCTTTCTTAATCTCCCATTTTCTCTCTCTCTCTCTACCTACGTCTTTCTCTGTCTGCCTCTGTATCTCTCTCTCTCTCTCTCTCTCTCTCTCTCTCTACCTACGTCTTTCTCTGTCTGCCTCTCTCGCTCTCTCTCTCTCTCTCTCTCTCTCTCTATCTATCTCTCTCTATCTCTCTATCTTTCCTCTATATCTCCTCCTCTCTCTCTCTCTCTCTCTCCTCCCCCTCTCTCTTTCTCTTTCTCTCTCTCTCTCTCTCTCTCTCTCTCTCTCTCTCTCTCTACCTCTCTCTCTCTTTCTCTCTCTCTCTCTCTCTCTCTCTCTCTCTCTTTCTCTCTGTCAGTCCAATCCCTTCTTTCCTTCTTTCTCTGGCTGTCTCTCTTCACTCTCGTCTTTTCTGTCCCACTCTCTATTCATATATTCTATATCTTTATCCACTTGGCCTCCCACCTCCCTCCCCCCCCTCTCTTTGTAATTTCGCCTTTCTATGTGATTCTCATAGCCTTAAGTATGACTCATTACACAGTATCTCTACTGATGACGACAGATGTGTTTTGTTTACATTTCCCGTAAAGTAAACACAGATGTGCCTTAGGGCAGTCGTAGATTATAGTTCGCATAGGTCGGGCCTGGAGAGATAATACAATAAATCATGAAAAATGCTTGTATAATTGGCAGATGCTTTGGCTGCTGTTGCGGCAGTGGAGACGACAGTCAGGTGATCCAGGACAATTGCTGCTACTGCAACTATGCGGCGCTGAAGAAGACTCTGCAGCTGGGCGACATTGATATCGTCTATGCCACGTACCATGTGGATGTGGGCGAGACGCCGTTCTTTGTGGCCGTGGACTACACGCAGAAGAAGATTGTGATCAGCATACGCGGCACGCTCAGCATGAAGGACATACTGACCGATCTGAATGCTGAGGGCGAGGTGTTGCCGCTGCAGCCGCCGCGCGACGATTGGCTTGGCCACAAGGGCATGGTCCAGGCAGCCATCTACATACGGAACAAGCTGCAGCAGGAGAATCTCATTGAGCGTGCGCTGCAACGCAATGCGGATCGCTTGACTCACACTTTCGATCTGGTGCTGGTCGGGCACTCGCTCGGCGCCGGCACTGCGGCCATCTTGGCCATTCTGCTCAAGCCCGATCATCCGACACTGCAATGCTTTAGCTATTCGCCGCCCGGCGGACTGCTCAGCATGCCAGCCGTGGAGTACTCCAAATCGTTTATTACGTCCGTGGTGCTCGGCAAGGATGTGGTGCCGCGCATCGGCCTCAATCAAATGGAGGCGCTGCGCGCAGATCTCATCAATGCCATACAGCGCAGCGTCGATCCCAAGGTATGTCTAGCTCTCTCTCTTTCTATATATATATATATATTTTTAGCTGTATCTATTGCTTGTTCGTAGTGGAAGACCATTTCGTGCTCGGTCATCTGCTGTGGCTGTGGTCCGGAGCCAACCTCTGTGGTCAACATGTCCGGCCAGGACACGCACATCAATCAGTACCAGGAGGTAGATCAAATCTCATTTCATATGTGCCATATCTTAACACTCGCTCTCTCCCTCTCTCTCTCTCTCTCTCTCACTCTTTAGGAGCGCGGCACAGCACGCTCGACCAGCGCGCATCCGACGGACAGCTCAATAGCTTTAACTCTGCATCAGCCCTTATATCCGCCCGGCCGCATTATTCATATTGTGCGGCATCATCCCAAGCCCGATGAGTGAGTAAACGGCAACAATACGTTCCCCAATTCCTAATCTTGAATTTGATTTTGAATCTCAATTTGCTTTTATTTTTTATGATTTCACAACCGACGCGAGATACGCTTGATTGATCGCAGTCTATATATGTATATATGCATATATATGTATATATATATATATATATATGTCTGTGTGTGTGTGTCTGAATTATCAGCTATCTCTAAGTCAGCATTGGCATTCAGCTTGGAGTCTGATTCATAGGCGCATGACGTCAGAGTTGTCCGGTATCTTGACTCAAACAGGTGCGATGCATCGCACAGTGGAGCCGAATCGAAGCAAATTGTAAATTTGAAATTGGGTCGAAGCTTAAATATACTTGTAAAAATATATAGCCTAGAACTGGTTCATTTTGTGGAACTAGTTGGCCACATTCGCACCAGTTTGCTCGTCAGAGAATTCAGTTTGGTGAACTAGTTCGCCACATTTTGGCTTGCATTTCGAACCGGTTCGTTTTTTGGAGCCAGTTCTTCAAAATTTGCCAGTTATAGGCAGGGTATCCTGTTTGGTCGCCACAGTTAGGCTTGCAATTCGAACCGGTTCGCATTTTAGAACTAGTTCATTTTTGAGGAACTAGTTTGCCACATTTAGACAAAGAATTTAGTTTCAGTTTCAGTTAGGCTTGCAATTTGAACTAGTTCATTTTTTTTTGAGCTGGTTCATATTGTGAAATAGAATTGACACATCTGGGCTTACAACTCGAACTAGTTTGTTCGTCAAAGAATTAGCTTTTTGGAACTAGTTCACCACATTTGGGCTTAAAATTCGAGCCAGTTCATTTGCTAGAACTAGTGCGCTTTGTGCAGTTAGTTTGTCATATTAAAGTTTACATTTGGAGTCCGTTCGTTAACTTTTTGGAACTAGTTTGATAATTTTAGGCTTGCAGCTGAAATTAGCTCGCAGCTTAGAGGGCTCAGCTTGTGGAACTAGTTCGCAGCATTTATAAATACAGGCTGGAAGTGCGTCAACAGGGCAAAAGCTCTTTCAAAAGCATTCGAATCAGTTAGCAGCAAATTTGCCAGGTGTTTGTCGTGTGTTGCCCACTGTGCGCTCTAGCGGGTTTTTTGAAACTGTTATTCGTTTTGTTTTGTCCACCAGCTCCCCCGACAAGATACGCAAATACCAAACAATCAATCTAATATTCGTTCAATTCAATTCAATTCAATATAATTATTTACAATTATTTTCAGGCAAAAATACGACAGTGGTTGGAGGTAGGCCCATTGCACAGACGATCATGAAATGAAAACGAAAATGAAATGCAAGAGAAGAGCTCCCTTCTCTTCTTTCTCTTACTCTCCTGTTCTCTTTCTCGCTCTCTCATATGTTTGTTTTCCGTTTGTTTGTTCTTGTTTTTTTTTTTTGGAGATTAGCTTTAGATAGATTTGATTTCCGAAGTTCTTATTGTTTTGCCAATTGCATGAGTCGCTGCATGTTATACATTGCGATCCATTGGTACCTCTTACCCGAAACCCCCTGCTCGATCTCGTTCTCGTTCTCGTTCCTCGTGCTTCGTTCTCGTCGCAAAAAGCAGCGAGTAAAACTTGCTCGTTCGTTTTCTTGGTTCATTCATATAAACGATTTATGTTTTATAGCATGGAATATCAATTTAATAAACCCGACCCAATCCTTCACTCCCTCTCTCTCTCTCTCTCTCTCTGTGTGACTATCTCTTACTGTCTCTCTCTCAACCTATTCGTTTCTCTGCCTGACTCTCTCTCTCTCTTTCTCTAGTTTGAACTGTATTCATAATTAGCTCTAGTCGAATGTTGAATTGTAGTTAGCATATTATTTCGATTCCTTCAAGTCGATAATATATATATATATTTATTTGAGAACTGTTAACTTTTGATTTCTTTGTCTGTAGTTAATATTTAGTACATATTTACATATTTAACACAAACTTTAGTTCCAATAACATTTGATATTTGTTCTGATCTGCTTAGCGACTTGTTATGCCCTTACGTGTCTTACAGGAATGTGCTCAAGAGTCGCGAGCCCGTCTATCAGGCGATCTGGGCCGACTCAACCGATTTCGATGAGGTGCTCATATCGCCTGTCATGCTGCAGGATCATATGCCCGACAAGGTGCTCGCCGCGCTCAAGAAGGTAATTGCGGAGGTTGATGACGAACGTACATCGGTCAATAGTTGTTCCACAGCCAGTTGAACAGCAATGACAATGGCAATGCTGCTGCTGCTGCTGATGATGATGATGAAGATGATGATGATGATCATGATGATGATGATGCTCGTACTTGTACAACTTCTCGTCGTTTGCTTTAGCAATCATATATCTAGTTTATAGTTTCTAGCATATTTAGCGCACAATGATTTAGTTTAGCCAACGCGGCAGAAACACACACACACGCACCCACACACACACATACATATATATATGTGTGTGTGAGTGTGTTACCGTACTATATATTAAGTGTAACGTTAAGGTGTCGAGCGTTCAACACAACACACACCTGACCACGCGCCGCCCCATCCAACCAGTTCGCCCCCGCCACACTTTTGCCTACTACGCCAGCAAGAAACGCCCATTGCCACACGC